ATAGAATCAAAAAAGTACTTGTTATTGAAACGGTAAGTCACCTATAGCCTCTGCTATAAGACTACATAGTTGTGTTTAAGCTATTTAACCGCGATATATCATATTCATCTAAATGTTATTATTATATAAAATAATGTTTATTTAAACTTATGATATTTAATATTTTCTCGGTTAAGTTAGTCGTATCACTATGTCATACCGCATGTGATAGCCTTTCTGTATACCGTATATTAGCTATAATCTGTTACTAGAACATTTTAATTTTGGTCAGATGTAGAAACTCTATAGTACTGCCCTATAGCCGACTCGGGTAATCGGATAGCTGTCGTTGAACGTTTTAAGTATCTCGATGAGGCCGTAGTATGGTAAAATAAAAACGTTATAATAAATATTGTAATACACAAAGCTGAAAGCATATAAGATGTCGAGTAGAAGTGTTTAGCCGTTAAGCAACTATGCAAAACCAAACTAAACTCTAAATGCTTAAACGGTTGTATTGTGCAAAATAATATGTATACAAAATAATACTTACAATATTTCACACAGCGTCAATACAGAAATATCAGCACAATGTTCCTTGTGTATTATATGATCGTTAAATCTTATTAGTATAGTATAATTCGTTTATATATAATATATAAATATATTCAATCGATAGTAATTACCAATTTTACCGTGGCCACAATAGGCGACCCTAAATTTATACACACACCGATTAATCGGCTTTAAGCATGTTAACTTTGGGAATGAACACCGCGAATAATCGTTTAATTAATCAGATATATTTATATAATATATGTATATATATATATAAAATGCATTATTGTTCGGAACACTTATACTTACGTACGTCTACTGTTCAGTGTTCTATAATACAATATAATAATAATAATAATAATAGCGCACGTTCTATAAAGGCTTTCGCAGTATGTATGTATAATAACGGTCTATCGTGGTCGAAAACTACCGTTTAACCTACCCCCGAAAAAAAAAACTCAAAACAATAAGCAGCTCGCGTCGAACGTACTTATATAAGTGCCAACAATACCCTACATAGGGTTGTGTGTATGTGTGTGTCTGAGAGAGAAGAGAACCTTAAGTAGTACCAAGAGAGAAATAACTGCACAAAAGGTGATATCTGTAAAACATTATTGACGTTTAACAATAAACGCGCATGTATTTGTCCGGCAAAAGTGTTCAAAAGACTTGAGTTCCAATACATATATATATTATAGTGGTGTTGTATGTGTGGATGTTTTTTTTTCTCTTCACTCCTCGTACGAGTTATGTATTATTATGTACTGCAGTCGAGATCGAGGGTCCTATTGTGCAAGTGTACGGTAAAACGGCGGCTCGTTGCAATAGGCTCTCTCTATCACTGTGTGTAGTGTGTGTGTGTGTGTGTGTGTGTGTGTTTCTTCCCGCCGTCGCCGAGTACACATGTAGTGCTAAAAGTCAAGAGGTTACCCAGACTCGATGCCTCTCCGATCTACAATGACTCTTCTAGGGAATAAAAAAAAAAGTATAAAAAGAAACGTTTTTCAAAGACGAATTATTGTATTTATAAATATATATATATATAATACATGTTTCTCGCTGAAGATATTTGAGTAATAGCCGATATTATATATTATGGTCGAGGGAATTGACTGCCGGCCGAAAACAGATGTTCTTGAGCATAATGCGTGTCCGCAATATAAATGGATACTGGAGGCGGCTACTGGCAGTGGCGTTTTGATAAACGATAAACGCCACCGCCCCGTGGCAAAGTATCACAATATCAGCTGCGACACTCGTACGGGGACATGACGAGCCGCCTGTAACAATAATAATATAATAATATGATCGAGTAATATATTTTATTTCGCTAAGATTTTTGATACTTACTAGAAACGATCGAGGGTCTCGTCACTCGTTTGTAAGTGTTTATTATGTGTACCAGTGTAGTACAAATACAACAGAGGCGGCGGCGGCGGCATACCATTGTAGAACATACCGCTCGAGAGTGAGATGTCGTTGAACTACATAATATTATCAACACGCTTATAATATTATAACGAGGGTTTTATATATATATATATATCTGTGAATTTTGAAAAATATCCAATTTTAAAATTTGTTCGATTGTGTGTAAAATTGTATTTTTATCAACATGTACCTACTAATAGATTATCAATCCATACATCAAATCGGCTGTTTCTCATCGATATAAATCTATATGATTTAACTTATATAGTTTTACTGTTGGCTTTAATTATTTTGATAACAACAATACGTAGGTACTATATATTAATATGTTTGTCGTTATTGTATTATGCTTTTATTCAGAGCTGTCTTAGGCTAATCAAGGGCTCTTGGGCATACAGAGTTTGGGGGTCTTTTAAGGAAAAAAAAACATTAAGATGTAAATTGTGTTATTCGAAACCCCCATCAGGCAGGGGCTCTGGGCTCGTGCCCTGCGTACCCTTAGAGTAAAGATGGAGCTGCTTTTATCGTAATATGATGCATAGTGCGAATTACTTAGCAAGCACATAATGTGCATATGAAAAACAATTTATTTACATAAATACAAATAATTTTGTTGTAGTAGTTGTGCCTTCATGTTTCATAAATAATGGCTATTAAAAAAGAAAAATAATAATAATAAAAATAATAGTACAAACAAATAAAACCTCATTCGTTGATAATGACCATTGATCACGTTCCAGGTGTCAAGATACCCTTTCCAAGAGTTATCAAGTACGCGATGCTTCCCAGCCGAGTAGTCGACTCATGTGTGTATACCTATATTATATTAACGCAGAATCATAAGAACTGGTCATTGACTACTGTGCCCTGTCAATGCTCAAATTGGGGAGGGCGGAGAGACTGAGTACTCTAACTATTTTTCAGAAATTGTAGCGTTCCCCTACTAATTTTTAGAAGTGGTGGTTTTTTAGGGGTAAAAAAATACTGAGTACGCTCTGTTTTATAAAATAAAAAACGTCCCTCTAATTTTATTTTTCCAATTCGAACACATGTATTGTGCTTTCTTGATGTTGGTCGCTAATAGCTATCACAACTCGTCGACATCGGCCCTGCAGGCTAGTGGCTACGGTAGACGGTCTTTCGAAGACTATTCGTCAGCGCTGCAGTCATGCTAGGGCAGGTCGGGTCTCCAGCGTCATGTTTGCCTCTGAAATCTGTGTACTTTGGCGGGTTTGCCTCAATGAGATATTTTTTTAATACACCTTATAAAGAAATTAATACTTAAAAACCCTTAACCATAAAATAAATACACACTCTGCGCATACGTATTTCAGCAACAATATTGTCATCTTCAGCGCTAACGACAGTCTGTCAAACCCGCCAAAGTAAACAAATTGCAGAGGTAAACATGACGCTATAGAGACCCGACCTGCCCTAGCAAGATTGTAGTGCTGACGAATAGTCTTCGCAAGACCGTGTACCGTATCCTGTAGGGCCGATGTCGACGAGTTATGATAGCGACCAACAACAATCTATAACCACAAGTTGTTCAAGTTTTTTTTAGACAAATATACATACCTACTTAATCCAAATTTGTTAAAAATAAATAACTATAATTTAAAAATAGTTTTAAACAGAACAACAATGCGTTTAAACTAACAAATAAAAAATAATACAAATTAACCATATAAAAAAACAATAAGAAATTAAAACATACAAAAAACTTTTTTCGAACCGAATTATTTACTTTCAGCTATTTTCGGTATTTCATTGTAATGTAATAAAGAACTCTCTTATCAGGGTCAAAAGTATAAAGTACCTAGGTACTGTTAACAGCAACAATCGTCAATACTTCTGAAAATGTTGAGCTAGAAAGCGCAAATTTTTATCACACATCGAGTTCAGCTAGCCCGCATAAACTGTGCAAACTTCAGACGTTCAGGTTTTCAGAAAAATGGCCGCCAGATAAAGAGGTGAACTTGGTAAGTAAAGACTAAAGTAGGGTTAAAGGGCCATAGTCGGTAAAGGGTCGCGATTCAAGGTTTTATGAACAATTATTATTTAACGCAAACAGCTGTTGATAATAATTAGACGATTTCTATCCAAATTTTCTAGTTTAGCGGAATAGATGACTATGTTAACACATTCAGCCTTGGCGCATTTTCGACGGATTACCACCGAACTGAGTAAGGGGGCGGGGTGCCGGTTGCCGTTATAGAGATGACTTCCGGCGGTTTTTTCCGGTAAATGCCTACTACCGTAACTCATCTCAACACAGTTCTTATAGGTGCGCGTGCGGTTGCACATTTACTGTACGTAATATAATTATGTACACGGTTATAAAATACATTTTGTGGCTACGTAAACGAAGAGCGGGCGCGTGACGGTGTTTACCGCTAGTTTAGCCGTGCATTAAAAGTGACGGGATGGGGGTGGGATCACTGGGAAGGGCCGGGAGACGTTAAGTGACAGAACGAAAAGGATAAAGCGAGAAATCTGGATAAAAAAAAAAAAAAAATTATAACAATAATACCGGTTAAATACTACACAAACAAACGGACGTTACGCCACGCCGTTTGCGGGGTGTCATCGGTCGGACGGGGGCAGAGGAACACCGGTGTGGTGGGTGTCACTTGATGTATAATCTCCGTGCTGTATGCCGGTCGGTTAGGTTAGGGGTAGGTTAGGGGGCGGGAGGACGCGTCGGAGTTAAAAATTATTATTATTATTATTATTATTCTTATTTTCGTATATAATGTGCCCGGCCGACGTGCGGAGGCCAAGGCGGCGCAGTGGCGGCAGTGGCGGTGGGACGGGCGCGCGCGTGTGTGCGTGTCGCGCCTGGCGGATGGGGCATATCTTCCGGACGAATGAGCATCGCGTTCTATATCGATCTGGGCGCCGGCACGCGATTGGAGGACGGGCGGCGCTCCGACCCCACCCACTCGCCCTATCCTTCCCCCAACGACCGACGGCGTAACCGGGCGGGACGACGGTACGGTCCGAACGGCACGGCACACGTTACCGAACCGCGCGGCCACTCGAATCACACGCGGCTGTCGCTGCTGCCGTCGCACATTGCGCACACACAACATTCGCTCTGATCTGTCTTCAGTGTATACAAACGATATATTATTATCCTTATCAGTCGACCGCCGTTTTTTATTTGATTTTTTCTGTCCTTGTATATTTGTTGAGGCCAATTGTGAGTTCGCAATTACCTAATCATTATAAAAAAAAATTGTTTTTTCTTAAAAATCGCCGCGGTCTCATGATTTTGAACGGAGACTCGATTAGAATATTATTGTTGTTATTTTTATTACTATCATTTTGACAAAGTGTGCGACCACCTGCTGCGAAGTTATATCGGATTATCCTTTAAGAAATCACGTTTCAACACCAAGAAGACGCCTCGTAAGTAGTCGATTAATTATTAATATAAATATTCGCCTTTATGCAGAGGCGGGTCTTCCGAGGGCATATGGCAAATTTTTCGAATACTTAAATTATTATATAAATAATAAATATATCATATAAATAATAATTTTTAGCTTCAATTAATAAATTTTCATCAATTTTTTCATGTAGGTAAAAAGAGAGGCAAAATCGCTCTATTACCGTACCCTTTTCCTTTAAACCGCCATTTCTCCTAAGCTTGCCATAATATATTCTATGTATACAAGTTATACTACAATAAAATAAAATAAGTACACATGCTAACTCATAACATTTGTGTTTTTTTTTTAAATACTAACGGTCCATAAAAACATAATGGATCAATCACCACCATCACGGGCTATTAATTGAATTTTGATTACTAAATATGTCTACTGATTTCTTAAACCTGTAGGCAGTATAGAATGAAAGTTTATGCAATACGTCATGAATGCATTAATTAATAAATTAATTAAAATAATTTTTTGCAAGCCCTCGACAAAAATAGACCATTTAGTAAACATTCGTTTTATTTTTGCTAATGTCGTTGTTTACTGTGCGAAACCATAAGGTCTATTATTGGTACCTAGGTTTAATTGACGTGCACGTATTTTAACTAAAACTATTATTTATATTTAAAACATATACACAATATTAAAATTTATTTTTGCCTTCGAGTTGAACAATTTTATTTCAAACACTTTTTTTATCTATAAGAATTATACTACATTTTTTTAAAATCAAATTTATACATATTAAAAATAAATTTGTACTTAAGATGACTTTTCACACTTCATCAATATTGTTTAATGTGAAAACTGAAACTGTTAACCATCTTAAGTTTTGACATAAAAATGTCAAAACTTTTACAACGTAAACAATAAACATGTTAAACAAAGCGTAATGAATCGCTTAAAGAAAATTAAATAACTTTTGTTGCCTGTTTAGGTAGTAAGTAGTATATAGGTATACGCGCATTGCACTAATTTGTTAGTAATTTATTGTCAAAGTTTTTGATAAATTACTTCTGCCTGAATAATATTTAATTTTATTTACTTATAACATTTTGTTATTCATTATATTGTGCCAACTATTTATTAAGCTAAAATATAGATCATCAAAACTTAAAATTAGTGCTTTTCAAAATATCTACATTAATTTTTTAGTGAGATTTTTTGAAATAAAAATAAATGTAGCACTCATTTTAAGTTTTTTAGAATCCCAAGCACCCTCCCTGAATGAATTTCCACCTATGATATAGATATCTAAATGTTTATTGTTAATGCTTTTTTTTTTAATTAAAAATTATTATTTATACAAATGATTTCTTAAAATAATAATTATAAGCCATAGGAATATATAAGTGGTCAATATAACCAGTTTTGAACAAATATTTCTCATGTAAATGCAAGTAATTTACACAAATAAAAATAGTATTGGGCACACCGAACTACTTATACCAATGTCTGGAGCTTTTAAGATACTTACTCGAATAAACTTGTTGTACCTTTAAGTTGTAATAGTAAATATATTTAAAATGATAACATTATAACTTGTACCACAATGTAAGAGTTTTCATAAATGTTGTATAACATCTAATATCTTTATATTTCGGTTTTATAGTAGAAAGCGCGACGAAGTGAAAAGCCTATACATGACTGTTTATAAAGTATATTACAATAATTATGATCACGCACTATGTATGTAGACGATTTGATAATATTCACAATTAAAAAAAGTTAAATGAACTTAAATGTTTTTATATATACTCTATCCACGCAGATAAAAAGTTTATTCAATGTGGATCACTTTCAAAGAGCCGGGCGGACGGGGGTGTGTTTTTATTATTTCATTAATAGCCCTCTTCATTGATACACTGAGCACACACAGACAAAGAAAGAGGGAGTATCGCATTACCATTTCGAGTGGTACAATAACATGTATATAAAGTGTATTGAAATGTGAGAGACGTACTGAAGGCGCGCAGCGACGGCACCGAGTCCTTTTGTACACACGCAACGCATATTATACTAATAATGTTGTACACTGCTGTTATATTATTTTTCTTTGCTTTCCCGTTGCAAGTGTGCTTCTATAGAGGGGTCGCTATGAAGTGGCCGAATTATGATATCAACGGCGGCAGAAATGACGGCATTCGTCGAGTGGGCTGCTCCGTTACCAGAGCAAATTGTCCGGATATACGCAGCCAACAGGAGAGAGATAGTGAGACCGCCGAGCAAACGGATGTGCGTGTGATGAGCAGCCTCGCCGCCACCCCATTTGATTTTTTAAACGCACTCGACCACCATGACACGGACTTACCTATCAAAACGTTTTCACTGGAATAAACTATGGTCTATATATATATATATATATAGTTCAATTTTTAAATGATACCTATACATTTATAAATTTAAAAAAAAAAATGCATTTATAAATTAGGAGATGGTAATAATCGTTTTATCCTGAATCGCTAATGATGATTTTTTTCTTTTATTCATATATCAAATATAGTTATATAAATTAGGCGTGCAAGTAGTCAAACTATCATATTATCTTGTTAGTTGTTTGTATTATTATTAATCTGTTAATGACGTGTCTTCCAGAGTCCACGTCCGAGTATGTTACAAGGCATCAGCAGAACGGAACAACCGGGCCTGTTGCCTCATCATCACCATCACCATCACCATCATCACCATCAGTCTTTGGCCGCTCACCACGGGATAGGAACGGGATCACCGTGGCCGCCCAGCCATCACGATGATCTTGCACACAAAGGTAATAACATTGTTTGAAAAAATTAATTCAGAGGTGGTACATGATATCCATACAAATTATACATCGTACATATATATATACATCAATCATTTGGATAATCAATCAATAAAAAAAATATATATATATATAATGTGCTTATAATACTCACTATACCTGTAGGTACTTCAGTGGAGCGTTTTTGTTTTGCCAAGTCGCATTTGTGGTGAAACGTCGACTCGACGTCGCGTCGTAGGTTAAAGGATCTGATCCGTACATATATTTTATATAAAGATACAGCGGCACATTTAAGTTACCCGATCTTGAGTTTATATGCTTGCACGAAGAAAGATAAAGAGAGAGAGATAGATAGGATAGAAGTAAAATAAACTTTTTTTCAAACGGGTTACGTGGCAAGGGGGAAGTATAGTATTTCTCGGCGCATGTGTGTGTATGTCGGCTTAAAGACATGATTGTGTGTGACTGGTTCACTCATGGGTGGAAAAATAACCGTGCGTGTACAGAAACCAGCTTGGTGTGGATAATTAAAAGGAAAACGGGCGGAAAAAATAAACGCTATAGTACAAAATACAAGGAAATTGTTGTTTTATAAAAATGTATAAAAAATGTGTATATATATATATAAACATCAGCCGTATTGGGTTTCGCCTGACGGGTCCCGGCCACCCCGCGTTTCAACCGATGTCATATAGCGGTTTTATGTTTACAAAAATATATAATATAATATAGAAATATACATATATTATATATATGTGGAAAACAATATCTCGTTACACGACACCGAGGAAAAAAATCGTACCCATATAGTAGATTGGATACATTGAGTGCAATATGTGTCCGTCTTTGCACTGTCGTCCCGCGTAACAGCTTCTGGGAGACGACATGGACAATAATAATATTTATATTATCATTCTTGTTTTTAATGCGCCAATCGAGTTGTAGGGAAAAATAATGAGAAATTAGATGATTTGGTCGTTTTATAGAAAAATTTGATGTTGTGAAATGTTTTCCTATTCCTGGCACAGTTACTTTTAATTGTTAATAACTGGGTATTATCCTATTTAATAGTTTTAAATATTCATTTACTTTTATCATGTATAACCATAAGTTTCTCAAGTTTTTTCTAGTTTTAAAAATTTTAATTAAATTTCGAATTGTTCAAAAAATGTGTATTATCGTCTACTGTTCGTTAACATACCTACACATTATGGATAATAACGAAAAAACTATTAATTGTAAATAATATTGGCCATAGGTTCTTAAGAAATAACTAATAATAATAATAATAAAATTCTTAGTTTGTGGAATAGATATGGATGTATTAGAATTGAGGTGGTCGACCAGATACAGGACAGCGAAAACTTTTTTAATTACGACCTCTGTGCTCTTATAATTTGCGCCAAAAGTAGACAGTATTTTATATTATTGCACACCATCATATCAGTTGATGGGAGCGGCGCGAGACTTCATGAGAACAATTTGCTCTGCTACCGATTAGCAGTAGTATTATTATTATTTGATGTTTTTTTTTGCGCTAACCGAACAATGCAGTTGATCAGCGCGATAAACAGTGGGAAGTCGATTAATCTGTACGGATCTTCAGCTCGCGCAGAGGGAAGTACACAATATATATATATACATGTATTATGTGCACGGGAGGCAGAACACATAGAGACGTCTCGTCGTCGAATAATAAAGGGTTAAATAACGCGCGGAAGAGGACAAAATCGTATTTTTTTATTTTTTATTTATTTATACATTGCTGCGTGCGACCTAAGTGTAAAAAAACCGTACTCGGTAGTCGCATACCGGTCGGTCATGAGCACCGCACTCAATGGGACGTGGCAAATAATAATATATCGTTTCCCAAACGGCGACGCTAATTTAACGAGCTCACACGCTGAGCGCGGTCCCTTTGCATCGGCGGCAACATCACATACAGCTGCGGCTTGCTTCTTATGCTTCTTCTTCATCGTCGTCGTCGTCGTCTTTTCACACCTGTCATCGCGCCGTTTGTACATGCTATTGCATTATAGTTTTCGACGGGGTTTATTCCGCTCATTCAGTTGAAATTGCAAAAAAAAAAGAAAACACGTGTATATGTGTACTTCTATATTGATTATTGAAGTATCCAACAATCACTCGACTGCACAGCACTACTCGACCAGACAAGTCGACGGCGAGACCCGTTCTGCACGCGCACCCGTTAAGTATATAATATTTGTTGTTCCTTCGAGCACATAATATATGCATATTTGTTAATACAAATACATTTAATAATGTACGTATAGTATCGTTGATAATTTTGTCGCGGTCGTCTAAAAGTGCCCAATACTAGATGCAAATTGCGGTTTTGAAATGATAACCATTAATCGACAAACATGGTTTTATAGCTTCTGTATATTACTGTTAAATATAATATGTCATAGAGATCACACAAGAGTTGTACACAAAATTAATAAACTTTTATGGTCAACTGAGTGAATTCTCGGAAAATTAAAAACAATATATTCGGCACTATTAGTATAACTATACAGACGAAAATTGAAATGAACTACAACCTTCGTTCATGTTGTTCGAAAATATAATTTTTCTAGCTCCTCGTTTCTTGATTTTAAGCAAATCAGTTTTATGCTTAGCACCGCCTTAGCTTCGACAAAAAGACCTTGATCCAGGAATCTGACCTCGTAAGCTGTCGAATAACTGAACGTACAACCTCCTTAATTATTTTTGAAGTTTACGATTCAATTATCCAAACTGTTTTTCGTAAAATAATCGTTCCGTCAAAAATGTTATTTATTTTCCGAGAAAGAAAAATTATTTTTTCAAACTTAATGATCTGAATGCCCTTTTTTTCGAAATAAAATAAACTTCTAAAACACGTTCACCGAGACGGAATGTCTGTTATTTACACAACGGCGGAAAATGTTATATTTTGATTTTAATTTTCAAACGTTTTTTTCAAAATCAAACTGAATTATTATTGTTTTGCTCGTTGAACGACAACTGCCTCGTTTAATCTAAATAATAATAATTACTTGAATTTTCAACAGTATTTATCAAACGAAATAAAATAAATGTAATTATCAAATACGCTTATTTACGGCGTTAAACGTTAAGTTTGCTGTGTGTCTGTATAGAGTTAAAGATTGAAAGTAATTAAAATCACGAAAGTTTAAACATTATATTATTTAAACGTCGTAGAAGTTTACCAATTATTATTATTTTTTTTTTTCGACAAGGCGCATTGTTATTCGACCGAGACCTAGACGACGAAATTAAAACAACGCAATTTAAAACCACAAATAAGATTATACCTCTGCGCAACCCTCTTTTTTTAAACAGCCAAGGGAATGTTTGTGAGATGTAAAATTATTTTTTCCCGGGGAGGAGCCTCTTTGCTAGTCCCCCCGTTCCTCCTCTTTTTTTAATTTTTTTTTTTTTTTTTATTTGCTCTTCTTCCCAAGTCATAGTTGATGCTGAGTCGTGTATAATATATATTATACTGTAGAGACCACAGCAGCAGCAACACCGAGAGGGGTTTTCCCTTTAAGATATTGCGCGTGGCGTGCAAATGACACGCAGAATTAACTGCTCGCCCTCCTACCGCTCGCGGCCGTGCCGACACTGCACAGAGGCGGGTGTCTTGTCACCCCAAAAATCCCCGTGAAGGGGGAAACGCGAAACGGTGGGTATGACATATAAGAGGTCCTGGAAATTTCAGGATGCGACGAACGGGACGTGTTTGGGTGAGGTGGGGAGTGATGAAAATGCGTAAATGGCGGAAGAGCTGCGGGGGTAAGCGAAGTCGTTGGCCGGAAAAGCTCCAAGTGCTTTTTTTTTCTCCCTCTGTCCAATGTATTCGAATATAGCCAAGAAAATGTTGAGGCTGTGTACAAATAGTAATATTTAAATATACTTTGTCCACATTTTCCGATTAAACGGTAGTTGTACCATTTTAAAAGTGTCGACGAGTCGTTAAGCTTGCCACGTTGTTGTATTGACAATAAAATTAATGTACATTTTATTTATACTTTATTTTTTATAAATAAAAATGATAATAATTCTTTCAATCGTTGTAATTAATACGCGTTGGCTTTTTATGGTCATTAAAGCAATTAGACTGTATGCGAGCAACATCTTTTGAAAAATCATATAGATACCTAATAAGTAATGTGTCGTTTCGTTGTGTGGTGTGCACTGTAGGTGTAGTAGATAGACAATCCCACGGTGTTGCCGGTGATTTTTTGACGGCTTTTTATTTTCATATTTTATATTGAAACATCAATTATTCGAATCTGCAAAACTAGTCCGTACACGCGGCACCGCGCTTGTATAGAAATTACATATTATTATATTCGCTTTTATGTAAAAACACAATACAAGGATGTCTAAATATAATATGCACTGCTTTTGAGTTTGTTGTCGCGAATTCCAGAAAAATACATAATATAATAAACCAGAAAAAAATCGAACAAAATATACATAATAATAATGTGAGCGGACGGCCTACGACCGGACAATGGATATTATATAGAGAAGCCTATACAGCGTGTAATAATATAATAATAAAAACGGGCCCGGTGAATGGATGTTTTTGTGTATGCATGTATACCGGCGGTGGATTGTGTTAACAAATTTGTAATCCACCTATAATCCCGTGGGGTTTTGTTGTCCGGTTTTTTTTTTTTAAAGAACCTTGTAAACCGCCATTTTACATAACATCTCTCGCTTGTAATTATTGTTTGAACCGTGTTTTGACAGGTAACCTATATAATACTGAATACTCTGTAGCAGCTCGTCGGTCCCGATCAAGTGAGATTGACGGTCATTGACGAGTGCACGTTAATCGATCGATGTGGGCCAACGATTTATAAAATAAAATTCAGCATATTCATCATTTGAACTCGATTATAATTTTTATTTTCTAACGTAGTATTTTTACGCATCATTATTAAAGCACCGATTTCCGGTTGAAAACCGATAATAAGTGAAACAACAACTTTTCTCAGACTCACTTGATAATAACAATCAAAGAAACAATTGGCGATCAAAGACTTCTGTCTTACAAAATAACAAATTAGTTCGCCTTTTCAATTAAAGCACTTACTTATAAAATGACTGTGTTTATTACATTTTTAACACAGAGAAAATTTACTTATTTATTGTCACCTACACTGGCAATTAAATTTAAATTTAAATGATCTGTTAAAAAAAAACTCGCGAAATTGGAGAAGAAAATCTTTTAAAGTTTAGATCCTTCGAAATTCCTTCAGGCACGGTATATTTTACAAGTATGACTTATTTTTTTTAATGAGTTTTATAGAAGTTTGGAAGAGTGTGAACTTTTCTATGATTATCCCCACGTTAGCTTACACATGCACAGTATGTTTATTTTTCCGTACCTACTAGGTAGTAATAAACTTAGGATAGGTATTCTCTTGAGAAATATTACTGTATATTTTAATTTATGACTTACGAATGTTATTTAAAGAACTCCGTGCTATAACAATTGATGTTATCTGACAAATGTTGGATTATAATAATAATTTGTAGATAGTATCGACGATTCGAACGGAGAGGGAAAACTTGCATGGAGAATGGTCAATTGCTTATGTGAATCCAATCTGTTGTATACCTACGAAGAGACCGACTCAAATCGTCGTGCATTGTTGAGAGCAATCGAAACGTGAAATTTGCTAATCGCAAAGCTGTGTATCCTATTAATCGACACTCATCACACCTGGGTGGAAATGTATAACTGCGGTATTTGCCGAAAGGATTGACCCCCGATGGTCGAAGGTCCGCAGCACGGCGTAGGCGTTCGACTAAAACCGACAAAGGACATGAGTATACTATAGATATTTATATATTGGAGCGGGCGAATACACCTGTTCGGTAAAATTGTCTTTTACTCGGTCGGTATCAATGCGAACGCCACAGCCTTTAACTATATATATATATATATATATTACAATACTTATATACGTCGTATACAGTAGAGGCTATATAATATAAAGGGTATAATAATAATACATGCGATTGCCGCGGGGGCGATTTCATTCGGTCAGGCTGTTTAGTTTCTCGATGAAAGGCCTAGTTGTCCGCCCTCGTCGTATACGTATAATAATGTGAAGTGGTTTTTCGGTAAAAGGTTCGATCAAACGTTATCGCCGCTGCCGTTTGTTGTTGTTGTTGTTAGGAAACATTTGTCGGCAACACCTTTATTGCTTATAATTGCTAACACATGATTTTAATTCGTTGTCAATAGCAAGTCGCTGGCGTATAGTGTTGTCCGCGGTGGTTAAAAACTGCACTGCATCCATACGGTGTTAACTTTTAAAATTATCAATTTATCAATTTCAATCAGCATTTATGATAGAATTTTTTTAAGCATAAATTACAGCATTTAATTAAGAAATAATTGATTAATTTTACAAAAATACTATTAAATTAACCGTTTTACACGTACAGCATTTCGGTAATAAAAGCCAAAATCTTCGGGAAAAAATTCTCTACAAAATATACGTTTATTAAATTATTTACAAAACTTCCGGTTACACCTATATTTGGTTTAGATTTTAATTGTGCTTGCCTTTGTATTGCTGTGCTGATTGAGTATTGTAGATATATTCAATAAAAAAAATATTTTCTTTTAAATACAATTTAATATTTATGAGTACAATTGTTTTATTAATTTGATAAATAATTTTAATTCTTGCTATAAATTATTTGATATATTATACTTAAAATGGCAATTAAAATATAACTTTGAACTATAGGTATTATTGTACAGACAAATATTACGAAAACTATAAAAATACGCCTGGTCAGTTTTTGTATGATGACGACGATAATATGTATATGTATATATATTATAATATGAAACGTTTATTGTAAATAATATGTCATCGCAGTCTGTGTTTATACGATATTAAATGATAACAGCAATTTCTATATAATAATAACTGACGTTGACGTTTATAATCCCCATAGTAATTATAATAATAATTAGCATTAGTATTATGTTGAACACAAATCATTCCCGTCAATCCAACGGCATTATACATTTTATACCTATTTATTATAATGATGACATCGCGGCTTACACGAATACTTTTTAAGGCTGATGTGCAATAGCGATCGTGACTGGTCATACTCGTTTAGGTTACCACCACATATAATCAACGTCACCGTAATGGATGTTATTCCGGTCGTCGTTTTTTGTCATAAGGGCGTTATATATTGCTGTTGTGATTATATTAATAAAACACAGGGTGTTGCTGTGGGGTACTAACGGGGCGGGAACCGTATGACCGGATGTACACTGTAGTAAAAAAAACCGCGAAGGCACACGAGTGGGTCCGCCTCTGGTCAAACGTTTGTCCCTTAAAACACACACTATTATGTACACTATGTGGGGCTACAGACTACATGTAAGCCGTAGTGGTTGTCGGCGTAATGATCTGTTTGACCCTCTTGTCCGCGGGGACCGATTACACGATGTTCGGGTGTTTTAATCGCTAAATACTACTCTGAACACTTTACTTTGTATTGTTTTTTTATGCAATTGACGAAGAAAACAATAAACACTACCTCTCTGTCTCTCTCTCTCTCTCTCTCTCATTTAAGAGCAAGCACTGCCTCTGTCGGTTTGTCGGTCCGCCGATTATTAACATTTAATGAACACAAAATATAAGAGTATTGTGTTATTGTTACACACAAACCTTTTGGCTACGCTCTCTAAAACAAACTATTGTACACATAATATTTTATGATTTTTTGATTTCAGTTGGCAACACTGCTGATTACGATGGTAGGATTATCGCAACTCGTGAATTAGATTTAGGTACGGAAATTAGTAATTACCAACTCAATCATAATTAGTATATAGTATGATAAAAGAATAAAAACTGTACAGAAGTGGCGAATTTCATATTTATTATTATAACTTTTTAAAACGATTGGTCACTTCTGCTATACTTTTTACGCTGATCTATAAATAAAACTATGCACGCATGCAGTGTTGCCAACTGTTTACCAACGGTAGAGCTGTGCGTACTGTGGGTGTGTGTGTGTTTGTACGACAGAACTCGGAGTTAATGAGCAAATTTTTCAATTGTTTTAGGACACAGTGGCGTTAACCAATTGGGCGGCGTGTTTGTCGGCGGTCGACCTTTACCGGACTCGACTAGACAGAAAATTGTCGAACTGGCCCATTCCGGGGCCAGACCTTGTGACATATCCCGGATTCTACAAGTGTCCAACGGATGCGTTTCGAAAATATTGGGGAGGTCAGTTTTTATATTAAAATCTATAACGAAGCATTATTTAAGTAATTGCAACGCAAACGACCAAACATGTTTTCCGCGTGGTACTATAATATTGCTTTGTGTAGGTACTACGAGACCGGCTCGATAAGGCCCAGAGCGATTGGCGGTTCTAAGCCCAGAGTTGCCACGGCCGAGGTAGTGTCGAAGATATCGCAGTACAAACGCGAATGTCCATCAATATTCGCTTGGGAAATTCGCGACCGATTGCTCCAAGAGGGCGTTTGCTCCAACGACAACATCCCCAGCGTGAGTACACACGTCTTCTATTCAATATCATATTGAAGTCAAATACTTGATCCGACCAGCTGGATTTCGTTACCTATACCATGTAATATTGTTTCGGCACAACCCGTTCCGACAGAACCGGATCGAAACAGTTTGAAATCAACACCGATAAGTACTCAATAATGATACAGAGACACACTCGACCGGTGGTGTACCTGCGTATAAGTTGATAGAGATCAGAAGAAAGGATTTATTTTCAGGTTTCCAATATCCCATTGAACCCCGCATCAATATTTATTCGGAAAAAAATCATGATTGAAAAACCAAAACCATAAAATGTATTTAAAAAACGTTACGGTTGTAAATCTTATTTTTTTCTCTTTATTGTGAGAGGGGAATTGACATGTGCGCGGGTGTGATCGCGGCCTCGGCGGTGACCTCGGCGAAAGGGAGACCCAAATCAGATTTCTTACGCATCACCGGATCGCATCTCTTCCAATCAATGTCAACAGCCCGTCGCCACCACCACACTGGTCGTGTGTTTTACACACGCACGACGGTATTTGGTGACGGATAAAAATAAAAACAAAAATTAAAAATATAATGTGTATACTTTTTGTACATGCATTCCGACAATTTTTATTCGTGTTTTATTTCTAATTAAAAGTATATATTATTATCTATTAAACGCCGCTTTGAGCATTTACTAAAATTGTAATGATAACACATATAATTGACGAACCATAATGAACTATTTCCCCAGGATGGAAACTCTTGTCTCTAGCAGAACAAGAGTTGTCCAACCGACCTAACAGGTCGTAGACTCGTTATGTAATGAACCATTTACGGTCCATAAAGTCCAACTACTTAATTCATAGTATAACATATACCATCAACTTATAACACAGCTGTTGTCGTTACGGCTCAAGCGCGAATCCAGAGCGGTGGGCTAAGGTGATTTAGTACTAACCTTGTTCTAATTTTTTTTTTTGTACATCTTAAGAACCATCATCCATACCAACAGTTATAGAGTAGGTACAATACAAAAAATTGGTATGATTTTATTTTCATTATTAATTATGTACACTTTTAAAAGAAAAGTAGGTACCTAAATGTACATCATGTACATCTTCTTATTTTGTGCCGCACATGTTAGCCACTATAACCTCAGTAAATACTTGTCTGCCTCTTGCTTGCAACTAGGGATAATTGACGTATACATAACTCGAACCATAAAGCTGATGTTCTTAACTCGGTTGTCGAAATCAGATTGGCCGGTCTGCTTTATTGTATGCGTTCATCTGTACAACCGATGCGTCTACGCCATTCGCATAAGGTGCCGCAGTATTTTCAACCCCCAAAAATCGACAGCGACACTACGAAGACGCTAAACGCAAAGGGCTCTGTGAACGCCGCTTTTCCTCGCCTTATAACGGATCCGGAGAAGTGTGTATGTATAAATGCTTGTGTGTGTGTGTGTGTATGTATATATGTATACAAGTCGAGGGCGAGCGGGCCGGCGCATATTTTCCACGCCTCGGCGGCTCCCCAAACAAACAGTCATCCCGCCTTAACGTCACGGTTTCCACCACTACCGCACATCACCTCCCCAGGGCACGTTTTGAACAGCAGCAGCAGCAGCAGCAGCAGCAGTCGCCAGACGATGTGGCACAAGCCGCTTTGCGCCTACACAACGTGCACGTCTCAAAACCAAACGAGACCTTTTTCCTCGTGAACAATTCGTGCGCGAACGACACACACACATGCACCAGATTATACAGCATTACACGTCAAATTAGGTTTATAATATCCCAGTGATTGTTGGATAATAATCATAAATCGAAAATCCTAATCTAAATTGCCAGAAATCAAATAAAACCTACACACACACACACTACACCGCGATAACATTAATATGCGAAAATGTTCTTAATAATATAAGCATTGAATAATTATAACGCTTAACAAATAAAAATTGTTTAAAAATATTTCCAACACCGTCAACATAGTATACCCGTAGGAAATCAAATATTGACAGCACGAATGTTGCAACAATATTCTCAAAAATATTATAACCTTATATATACCTTATTAATTTACAACCTCGCGAGCTTGTATTTACATCTTATAATTTTATTTCAATTTAAATGCCAAACAGAAAAAGTATTTTTGATCGGCATCATAGGTAAACGTTTCTCTTGTTTTCTCTGTGTTACTTTGTATTCGCTTGTACGTCGTTTAACCGCCGAAAGTTAATGTTATTGAAATTAATTCTTTTATTCTACGACGACTTCACACGCGTCAAAGACCCTCCCATGGTTTACGTTACACATAAACGGTTGTACCGTTTACTACTTATTCTTCTCCCTCAGTAAACGTTTTTAATTGTCCCAGGCCGCTTTCGTTTCCCCCAATTTGTGGGAATTCGACAATATTTTGACATTTCTACATCCTGGAAGTCACCTCGACGATACTCGCCCGCCGTTTCACACACACACACACCCGTACGTACAAAATATATCACCATCGCCGGATCCGAACGGTTCTTAACGCATAATGGAAAACATGTAGAATTTATATAGAGCAAAAAAATAATACCCCATTTCATTCGAATATATATATATATATTTATATATTTGAGTAAAGAACAAGTACAAATGTCTTTTATGCCGCCGAACTACGGGAGTCATTTGTTCCTCGACTTGTCCATTGTTGTTGGACTGCAGTTGTGCCATTGCTGTCATTGATGATTAAGAGAGATAATGTCCTTTTTTTGTAATTGAAAAGCAGGGACTATTGTTTTTTTATTATTTCTGTTGAACACCCGTTTCTTTCAGCGCCGATGTCGCATAGTTTCAGTTTTTTTTTTTAATTTCTTTACATGAAAGTATTAAAAGAATAAATAATATACATACCTACTTTTATTATATATATATTTTTTTTTGTGATTGTTCCGAAGATTTACTCAGATACGGTACAACATATAACAATAAGTCATATTTTTAACTAACCAGATTACTCGTTAAAAATGTCTATATGATAATCTCACCCCAAATCTAAGTTTATTCGTAATTCCTATAAAAATTGTATTGTATAGGTACAAAAATTAATGTTAATCTTTAATTTCAGCAGATCTAAAACCGCGTTTATAGCCGCGTACCTGCTTTTACACATTCGTATTAAATCCATAACACAAACCTTTTCAGTGTACTGTGTAGTTACTTTTCTTTTAGTACCCCTTAAGTTTACTTGATGTATTTTCGGTAAAGTACTTTAAGAATAATTGTTTTGCGTTTACCCTAACATTCTATTTTATTTTGAATCGCAGTAAAAAATTACAGACATGTATACACAGTGTATTATTTCTTTGTTATTTCTATACATAATATAGAGGCTTGTTTCTGATATATAACACTGTGGAGATTGTGCAGCCGGGGGAGTAGAGAAAGCGTGAAGGCGAATACTCCACGGAATCCGTAATCAAAGTGTAAAAAAAAACCCCAAAGTTTTTCCGGTGGCTGTAAAGGCGACAACATTAGGACACCCTCTGGCAGAAAATATGTAAGGACGAGGAGATCGGAGCAAAACTCATGCATTATGGATTCGTTTGCGACACATCACGCGAAACCCTCCTTGTGACGCCTATGCTTGTCTTCTATCACACACACACACAAACACACTTATCGATATGTGAACATTGTGCGTGTACATTCAATGGACACTGTATATAAATTGTCGTGCTATAAAAAAAATCGAACATGAAAAATATATACAGAGAAGCAGAAAAGACACAGAAAAAAAAAAAATTCAAAAGCGAGGCGACGAAGGAAATGTATTCCGGTTTGGAAATTCGCGGTTACTTTGGTCGCGGAACAAAAGAAAGAGATAAAAAGTACAAAAATGAAAAATAGGATTTATGTCTTTTATAGAACAAAAATACATGTACTCCGTGGTACATTGGTCGGTGTTTGTGTGCGAAGACAATGGCGACGGCGATGACGCCAGTTTTCACATTAAATTGATTGGAAACTATTATATCATGGTCTTTTGTAAATAGTTTCCCCACTTAGTCGTCGAGTTGTCGATTTTTTCTTCCCGACGTCTTGGCTGAAAAAAATTATTACCAACGGCACTCGAGAGGGTCCCGACGTTAAATTTCAAATATACTATGTATTCGAACTTTTTTGTACACGTAGTTGGCTTTGTATAACTACTATTCGATAACTCGGTTATAACGTCATGTGGTCGTTAATATTTATAAGCTAATAAACGTCATACTTAATGAACTTCGTACAGATCATAAAACGATTTTAACAATCGAATGACGCGTGACAAAAAAAAAAATTGAATAATTTATACCTAATCATTGGGTTAGCCATACAATATAATGCACGAATAATATGACTTCTCGAGGTCGACTTTATTCTGTTGCAAACTTTTTGGTGGGCGTTCTTCAACAGTTAAGTCCGATTTTAGCAAAAATAAGATTTGCCTTAACTATTTTAGGTCAGATATTTTTTTTTTTCTGAAACGATTAAAATTTACATTTTGGACGTTTTTCCTTTTGCAGGTGTCGTCGATCAACCGGGTTTTAAGAAACTTGGCTGCTCAAAAGGACCAACAAGCACCGACTTCCGTTTCACCCACATGCAATACAGCCGATGCGGTCTACGACAAGTTGAGACTGTTGAACGGTCAAGCGGCGGCGGCGACCGGCACGTGGCCCAGACCTAATCCATGGTGCGTGGGAACCGATTATTATATGTATTGTTATATTTATTATTATTATTATTTTATTCTATTTTGCATGGCCGTCGCCTATGCCCGTATGACTTCCGTTACTAAATGTATTGTTTTTTTTTTTTTCAAATCGCTCTTTTAGGTATCCACCGACGTCCAGCGACAATCCGTTTGCGCCACTTCAACCGTCTGGTCGGTTGAGTCCAAACACCGCCAACTGTACCGTACTGCCGGACATTCTTGACAAAAAAGGTAAGTCAAACAGCAACTTGTAAACATTTTAACCGAAAATTACACCTGAAAACACATTCAAGCTTATTCGTGTAATTCGCGACAATGGTAAACTATTAGAAACGCTTTGAATAATTTTTCATTTGACATAAAATATCAATTCTCGTGCTATGTCTTCTTATTAGGTTAGGTTAGTTATATTCGACAGGAAAACGGCTTACAGCTGGTTTTTAGCTATAGTATAAAAAATTAAATAGACAAAATATAGTATTATCTATTTAAAACCACATTGTACTGTGTCTTTCACGTAGCATGAACGTTAATGTAATTAAATGGTTATATTATTATGGTATTATAATAAAAGCAGAAGAGGCTGACGAATATAATATATTAACTCGGTCGTTTTGTTGTATAAAGGGCGGGTCGCGGGACTTTACGGGCAGGGACGTTTTAGGTGAAGAGTCCGCCGAATGCTTTATTTTATCTCTGCCAAAAAACAATCTTCGATCGAATATTTACTTATACGCTTATGTTGCACGCGAATATATATTATACACGGGTCATGGTCGGATTGTATAGGTATAATAATATAATGTTATTAAAAAAAAACAGAAAAAACACTTTTAACCGGATCTCGCGCAATATTTCTCTTCTCTCTCTCTCTCTCTCTCTCTGAAACAAGAAAATATCAAAGCCAATGCGGACGGCTCGGGGTTTGTGCAGCTGACACAGCAACCGGAGAAGGGTTATAATATTTAGATAAAGGGACGTACGGTTTAGAGGGGGAAATGGGGAGGCATTACCACAAAAAAGGTTTTCGGGCTACAAACACGGTAACCATATTAAATTTTGCCATAGTCCGGAATTCCGGTTTTCATCCGTATAAACGGCACGGGGGGAACAATATATGAAAATACCGGAGAGCAATGGAAGACAGGGAAGGCGGTCGCTAGCATATTATTTAAACGGCTCAGTGGAATGCGGGATGAGACGAGCACAGACGAGCTATTACATCGGGTCTAATAATATATCAGCTTTATACGTTACATCATACATGTAATAATATATTTGATCGTTTTCAAAATGCCTCGTTCCGTTCGCTCCAGGATTTTGTTGTATATTATTTTTAGTAAAATAAAAAATATTTTTCCCTTTTTGAAAAAAAAAAAGTTTAACGGTAAATAGATCCGCACGCTCTGACCATTTTTATTTCTGTACACGAAAGCGATATATTATTATAAAGCGAAAATATAAAATATTTGATGATGATTTTTTTTTTATCCATATTTTCCCCATAAAGCCGGGTGCTATGTATGCACGTATAAAATACAATTCATACGAGTATGGTATTGTATTTAATGCCGATGTGTATTGTGAATTGACGCGATGGTCGTGCGCGGCGAAAATAGAGGTATATATTTGATCATAAATAGGGTTTCCTCTTTAACACGCGCTCATACTTGTGCATTGAAAAAAATCGTACCGTGATCATTTATCCGTGAATAATTTGCTGGTTACTTTCACGTCTGACTGACGGTTTGTTGCGCAGCTGATCACAGTGTCGGACCTTCTTGTCGTCACCTCATGTACCTAAACACCATCACGCCTCTTCTTCGCTTTGTACACACAATACGTTGTGTAAATATGACAAACACAAATATCCGGAAAACCATACCGTGAAGATTTGTGTGGACAATATAGAATGTAATAATAATTAGTCGATGGTCATGTGTGATACGACGGCACAATTTATCACCAATTTTTATGCTGATAATACTCAAAACGCTCTGCACTTGGAGTGAGTAGTGACCCGTTTTTTAAATTATCTACTAAACCAAAAGTGGGAGGTCGTAATAGCCGGGATAATATTATATCGTTATACTTGTTCATACATAGCCCAACGGAAACAAATAATTATATTTTGTCGAGGTTCGTATATTTTTTTGATGTTTCGGAAATAATTCTTATACAATCATTAAAAATGTATATATATGTATTTAGGAAATCCTATTGAAACATTTGTATAACTCATATTTGATATTCTGCCAAAAAGCCAAATGCCATTGAATATCCATAAAGCACAATGTCGTACTTTGTGAAATAGTTTTATTCGGTTGCCAGTCTTAATTAGTTGATTTGGATGCAGGAAAATTTGAACTAAAACAGTTAAAAACTAAAGTTTACACTGTATGTTTAAAAAAATATTAAATTTTTATGTCAGTTTTTGCCGTTTTTTATAGCATTTACCATCTTCGACATAAAATGATTTATTTTATATTTCTTCATTACATATCTCCCTTTTCTTAGATAAAACTATAATATGATATTTACTTCTATAGTTCTATGTAACATTTGTATTTGAAACTAGGTATAATATCATTACTTGCACTATCGCTCATGATTGCCAAGACGATCCGCAATCGGTTTATGTTATTTGCACTAGACACTAAATCTAAGTCAAGTCAACAAAAAGTTACAGATTTTTTACACATATTTTCCTGAAATAGGAACGTCTATTTTCCTTAAAGGTATTTGTTTTTCGAAAAAATATGGTCCTTATCAAGAGTCGTACTAGTACGAATTGTAACATTCTTTATCTATTATTTTTTTTAAATAATATGTAACTTACGAGAAATTAAAATTCCATCTATCACAATAATATTTTATATAATTATCATATAAAACGTATTTTTGGATTTTTGTGTTTTGGATCTCGAGTATTTAACCTATTCATATTAGTATTGTTATAATAACAATGATATTCATGTCATAAAAACACATTTAAATTATATCAAGAGTAGGTTTTTATTTTATTTTTCTAACAGCGCTTCAGCTACCTAATTAGGTTTATTAAATTGTAGGAGTTAAATACAATATTCCACTATAAAATGTTATCAACGGTTTTTTTGGTGTATACAATTTACTGAAAACCGTGTTTTTAAACAATGTTATTTCGACCTATTAAAAAAGAGGCTGGACGTCCTGTACACTATAATATTATTATTGAATGAACAATTAGGGTTCTCTGAGAAAATCCCTACGAATTTAATGTATATTATAAGGTCGTATGTTGTAATCAAATTAAAATTATAATAATCCCAGGGACTAACCTAATGGAATGTTTATATCTACATAAACTATGTCAAAGTACTGTATGGGAGCGAACTACATTATAGTATGTACCGATATTAAACGGTGTCGACTATCGCAGATTGACGGGATTAGAGGTTGTTTGTTGCACGCGATAAAATTAGTTAACGTTAAATTGTACGCACAGACGATAATAATTAGCGTCGGTACTTTAGAAATGTGTATACAAACAACATCTGTGGACTGTGGTTTACATATAATAATGTATGCATAGGGGTTTAAACGCGAGCAATAAAGCTGGGCGGTCCGTTGACTTTGACGACTAACCTTTTCCGCCGGAACCCGTGTTGAAATTTACATAATCACCTTTGGTATTTTACGGTACATGATAGTACACGAGCAATACTGCATATTATGCATTATGCAACTCGCACAGTATAATAATAATAATATATACAATCTCCGTTGACGATGACAACAGTGTTTCTTTCTTTGGGCCGCTTGGGCAATGCCAATGAGTGTATACTTCATATTGACCATTATTACCGACCGTGATATGATGACAAAATTAAAGTCTTAACAGAATAACATACACCTGCTCTAGTACACGAATAACTGTGCAGGGATGGGCAAAATGCGATACTTGGAATGAAAAATACTATATTTTGTGTTTTGTCATAATTTACTTAAGAAGGTGTTTGTGTATCGGCTCAGCTAGATTGTAATATAGTTATCTATAATGCCAATGTTGCGGACAGACAACAGAATTTCTGTAAGCTGACGGGAATAATGATAAAAAAAAATAAAAATAAGAAACCTAGTCTGAACTACATACACAAAAAAAAAAACAATCGCTCGACCTCTTTGCTCTTTCTCCCTCCCTCTGAATTTGACAATTCGTTTAAAAATAATTACGTGTCGTTTGTTTTTGGAGGCGACTTTGAACGCAGAAAATCTTTTACGGTTTGCTGGCCTCCGGCGCGGGAAAGGGTATAACGTTATATGTTGCAGTTGTTATTTAACGGGATATTCGCCTGTTTGTGACGTGCTTTTGTAATGCGCGTTGGCTCTTATATGTGTATACACACACACACACACACACACATATATATATAGTATACACACACCAACGATGGGGATAGGGTGAAGGGGCGGAGAGCCTCACTCCGCACATAATCCGATTAAAAATTATCAAAAGCCCGCTGCTTTTATATTTGTATATACCCCCGGGAAACAATTTAAATTGTTCGCCTTCGCCACTTCCAGCCGAGACCCGAGCAGTGACAAATTTTATTTACTCGCCAAACGTCGCAACAGCAGCAGCGCGTGCCGCCGTCCGGCTAGCGGTTTTCAACTTATTACACTATAAACCGCGATGCAGTTACAGAACAACAGCCTGAGGCCTTTGGAATTTTGCACGTGCAAAATTAAAAAAAAAAAAAAAAAGTGTAAGGACAATCGAATATTGATTGGTTACTTAAGTACCCGGAAAAGGCCGACAGCGCGTGCACTTGGAGAAGTTGTTATTTTATACATATTAAATTATATTGTAAAAAAAATCGGCCCCTTCCTCACTCTCTCTTTTGACTGGGTACATGATTACGTCGAATGACTTCATTTATTATGATTTTTTTTTTATTATAACACATAAGTGTACATTATTATTATTTTACTTGCAAAATCCGATTAACAGAGTCGTGCCCAACCAATCGAGAACCGCACACGCCAATCACAACGCATGTGCGGCTCATTGGACCGTCCTTAATCGGTTGTCCTTATAACGTTTTTATTATTTCTACAGTAGGCTTTATATAATGTCCGTATGTACGTGCACTCAATAACATTATTATTATGATTATTGTGTTTCAAATCCACCGAGTGACCCGTGGTACGCCATAACCAGCTTCTATACTTATTATAAAGGGTTTTTGAACTTATTTATATTAAAAACTTAACAAAAAAAACTAATACATGGTACGTCTGTAAAACTTGTCCAAAATATATCCTTGTATTATTTTAGGCATTGTTAAAACTTAAAATATGTTTCAATGATTTTTCCTAAATGAAATAAACTTAATATTTAAACTTACGAACTATTATCTAAATAATTATAGGTAACAATAGTTTATTCTAATATTTGTTTTAAAGTTACTGTACGGACGAAGCTAGGTACTGTTTTTGGCTTTATACAATTTTTAAACAATTTTACTATTCTGTGTGTACTGTAGAATTGTGGGACACTTTACACACCTTGCGTGTATATATGGTTACCAACTACTCTATGAACGATATAAAATTTTTTTTTTAATGTCGTCAATTATCGTACACCTACATTTTTTTCAAACCACACCCAAACAACGACGTTTTGTGACTCGCGATTTAATCGCCATGTTATATTATTATAATCCATTGTGCGTTTCATATTATATTATATTATGGTCGTCTTCGGGCGAGGTACGATGCAGTTATCAGACCGCCAAGACGACGTTTTGCCGTCATCAATCGTTGCAGGGCTTATATTATTATATATATATATATATATATATATGTATACACGAGTGTATGTGTGTTTGTGGTAACCGTAATTTATTTCTCTGTGTGCTCGGCTCGTCCTAGATAAGTGTCGCGAACGGTTACAAAAACATTGTCCTTCCCCGACGATCGCATCCCTCGTATCTGCCGCGGTTGAATAATAGCTACCGTCACCGGCTCTTGGGTGTGTGTTCTATATAGGTGTATAATATTATACCCGTTCACCGGCTCTCGGTGTACGGTATATATATATATATATATATATTTATTAGCGTAAAGGTGGAAGAGAGCGTATAGCGCGTGTGTGTGATAACGACCGAGGATGCCGCCGTGTTATTTAAGCGTTCAAATGAATGGGGAGCGTTCGAGTAGAAAGTTGCTGATAAGACGGCCGAGACCGCTATATAGTCGTATATATATATATATACACATTGTGACGGTTTGTATATTATAGTTGTGCGTTTACCCCCCATTTTCTCCACAATGATCTTCGTCAACCCTCCCCTATTTGGCACCGGGGGTCTCTCTTATCGTCGCTCTCTCTCTCTCTCTCCTCGTATCGAAGCGCACGCCGTATCGCCGTCTCACGATTTTGGCCCGACATTGTGCCTATGAATATAGCAATATACACCTATACCTTCTCCTCATAACCACCTTAAGACGCCCGTACACTTTTTACCCGTTATCCAAATCCGATACATACACACCGCTTACACTGTATCTACAGTAGCTGTTACAGTGTGCACACGCGAAAGTCAATTTTACAATATCTCGCAACGCTGTATAGCGAGTCTTAAGGATTACCTATATATTATGTTATAATAGTTTTCTCGTTAATACTACATACTCGGTACATAGTTCGTAAAAGAATCTGGAACTGGAAGCTCACAAAAAATGAGATCAAACGCAAATAGACGACAGAACGAGGTCCTCGTCAGATAGATTTTGTGTTTTTCAAAGGTAGGTCGTAAATTAATTGTAGGAAGTGCGTGGCTATCCTTTCCTCTGCAAAAGAACACACTTTTCTCGTTTTAAGTTATTTCATACATTTCCCAAGACTAAACCGCATACATCCGAAAATTGTTAAAGTTTAAGATTAATCTTTCAACGCAATGAAAGTTTCAACGTATAATTTAAATCTGCGAAATAGCTTTGTGGGATGTAATTTCTCTGAAACAATAATAATAATCTGTATTCAAAAGAGGACATAGTGCAGTTTGTAAGGAGTTCAAGACTTGCCTGGACTGGGCATGCGTGGAGAGCTGATGGGTCTCTTATAAAGATGGTTATGATGAATCAAATAGATCGGAAAAGACCAAGGGGACGTCCAGGGCAAAGGTGGCTAAATGTGATTAGAAAAGATCTAGAGGAGTTAAAACCGGACTGGAACGGAAACTTGGATCTAGCTTACGCAAGAGAGATATGGGGGGAATTGGTTTTAGAAGCAAAGAGCCTAAATGGCTCGTAAAAGCTTAAAAAAAAAAAAAAAAAAACAATAATAACGTTTTGTTGAATAAAATATATCTTATATACTTTTTATTTTTACATTAAATGTATAAATAAATATTTAGATATTTTATTTTGGTATGTTACCAACTTAGAGTTTTTAAAATTACAAATTCTGTTCATCAAACGGCATTTCTTAATGGCTTTAAATCTGTTCCATATTATATCCTCTATAATTTGCCTCTCCGAGTTAACTTTTCATTTTTTATTATAAAATTGAACCGTATTAATTCATTCAGTAAATTTGCTATTAACACCACTAGTTGTTCGACATTTATGTAAACCTTACCTTACCTTCATACTTTTCATAGGAATCACTAACGATCTTATTAAACATTATAACTCCTATGTTAAACATATCTATATAAAGTATGTTTCAATTTTATTATTACATCCGATATTATCTATTCGTACCTTTTCCTGGACATGTATATTTTGCTACACCATTCGTCGAACGAAACCGGTACCGGTTTGATATTATCGACGTGGGGATTTAAACGTTTTTTTTTTTTTTTTTTATACCGTTCCCCTTCTACATTTAAACAGTAATAGCGTACCCGCAACTTTATTATAATATATATATATCTATGCGCAAACACCTCTGGTGCTAATGTCAGCGTGTGTGTGTGTGTGTGTGTGTGTCACCAACGTTGGTCATACCGATATTTTTGTCGCCGGCTGCCGTTGTTAGCGCCCGTTATGTATACATATACATAATATTATAAAATATATATTGTATTAAAAGCGTCGACCCTCTCTCTCTCTCTCTCCGCCGTTCTGTCAGCGATCGTTTGTGGAGGAACAAAAAAAAAAAAGGAAAAAAGAAAAAGAGGAAAAAACACCGTGTACACGCGGCCGAACCCCTTGTCGCGTTTTCTGCCCCCCCCCCTCAACCCTCTCACCCTTGGATTTAACCGGGTCCGACCCACTGCCGATCGGCGCGGTCCAATGAACAATTTGAACCCCAAAGTCGACGGCTGCCCCGAACCGTGTTTATATATATATATATATATACATGCATATATGTATTCGAGAGAAGGGGGTTGCACAGATTCTGTAATAATCATCCCTACACTCGGTATACATTTAGATATAATATATATGATGATGATCACGAGGACGGTAAACGGCGGAGGGCATGGCGGCGTCTTTCACGTCATAAACTCGGACCTTTAAAATAGTTTTAGTTAATACTACCGGCTCTTGCCGTCGCCCGTCCTTTTTACATAATATCGCGTGCATACTATACCCTATAATATGGCATATCGCGCATAATATATTGCCTACACACAACACAGTATATACGCCGTTGCGATGCGTTCGACTTTAGACAGGATAGTGCATAAATGTTTTACTTGTAGATAAACGCATATGATATGTAATTGCTTGGTGCCTAGCGGACGTGGTTAATATATATAAGCGCATAATGTATTTGTGCCAAAACTGTTGGACGAATATTATGTACCGGAAGTAGAATCCAAATTAGTACGATGTAGTTATCCGTTTTTGTATACTATCATTTTGTCGTACCTCGTATTGAAATGTCACAAAGGCCGTTGCCAAAGATTATCAGTACAGACGTACGTCAGTTGGAATATTTTCAAATTACAAATTGTTTAACATTAGATTTTACCTTCATGTTATTGAAATCAATCACTGTAAAGCTTTTCAATGGTGTTTGACTCTTAGCGAATTGTCCTCCTCCGACGTTTTTTCTTTTCTTCTTTCGGTTTTTTCTTCGCGTATGGTTATTTAAAAACCTTTGGTTGATCTCCAAGAACGTCTCAATCGCACCACATTTTCTATTTTTGTAACGGACACAATTATGAAACGTATTGCTAAAAATTCCAAAGTAGTTTATATTTATTCGGCGTTCTTCAAGGAAATTTTCTTTTTAGTATCATCAATTCCTAGTAATCTCTTTATCAGAACTTATTCATCTTGACTTATGACAGATGTGAATCTGGGAAGGTATTTTTTTTTTTATACTTTCAGCAAAGTCTCGACTATAAAGCATCTTGCTGTGCAAATCATCATTGCCGATCCCAAGAAGTATTCTGTCGCATTAATTATAATATAAAACTGTATTCTGTATGGAACTATGTGTTCCTGAAGCTCTCATTGGAGCTTTTGTCGTTTGGCCATGGTAATTTCTTATTTTGTATGAATAACCGCTGTTACAGTTACTGATGCGCGAGATGTTATTAGGGATTCATGTCGTTTTTCTACTATATATTAAAATACTATTTATTAAATAAATCGTAAGTCCTATTGAGACACGACAAAACACTCATTGAGTAGGAAATTGTATAGTTTTAGATTTGGACGGCGGCATGGGATCGGACGAGACGTGCACATCCATCGGCGACAACTCCAACCACGACGGATCTCTTGGCGGAGGATGTGCTCCGGGCTCGACTAACGATGACGACCAAGCTCGTCTAAGGCTCAAAAGGAAACTGCAAAGAAACCGTACTTCGTTTACCAACGAGCAGATCGACAGTTTGGAAAAAGGTTGAACCGCCGACATCCGTTTTATATGCAATTAACTGTTTTCACTGACTAAATATATTTTTTTTTTTCCCCCCGTTTTATAGAATTCGAACGGACCCACTATCCGGACGTATTCGCTAGAGAAAGACTCGCCGGCAAAATAGGATTGCCCGAAGCAAGAATACAGGTAACTAAACATACCGAGTAAAATAAATTAGGTGTATAGCGCTCGTATCCGTGCTCGTAAGTAAGATTATGAGTTTTTAGTTTTGTTTTTGTATGGCGTAAATGTCCGGCAGTACGTCCGAAGGCCTATGTTCTTGAAGTGTCGGGTATACTTCAAAGTTAACAACCGTGTGCGGTTTTTCGACAGGTTTGGTTTTCGAACCGTCGCGCGAAATGGAGACGGGAAGAGAAACTTCGGACCCAGCGTCGTCCCAGTTCTAACCAAAACCAACAGCCTATGGACCCGCAAAACCAACAACCACAGCAGCAGCAGCAGCAGCAACAACAGGCGTCCCCCAACAGGATGAACGGTTTTTCGAACAACACAGCCGACGCCAATACCAACATGTACACGACCATCGGCAATCACGACACGTTTAGGTAACACCTTTGTCTAAATCGTTTTCATATTGACACTTTTTTTTTTTAAAATATTTCGGCTACTCGCAGAATATTTTGTATTTATTAAATCGGGTTTATCCAAAAAGTACCGATAAAATAATGACGATATAAGAGAATTTCTATTGGAAAAATAGAGAATTACACAGTAAAGCAAACATTAATATCGTACGTATCCGGTATCAGATAAAAAAGAAAAAAGTTTCCAATTTTTTTTGTTTGTATAATTTGTTTTATTTGTTTTTTTTAAGTATTAATTAAAAAACACTAATGAAACAAATTATACAAACAAAATAACAGGAAACATTTTCCTTTTTCATCTGATACCTAGCGTTGATTTTTTGCTTTATTATAATTCTCTATGTTTTAATAAAAATTCTCTTATATTGTCATTATTTTTTTTTTTTGGTATATATACATACCAATAAAATATAATTAAAAAAAATATATTTATATAATTACTGTACTGAAATGTATAAACAACATTTGGTGTTCCTTTTTTATTTTTCGAGAAAGCAAATTTTTTTCCGAGTATCTAACTTTTGGTACTCAAAGCTTTGTAAGCACCTGTGGTGCAGTATACATGAGGGGGCGAATTCGGTACCTACCAATTGCAAAACACAGTTTGTCTGTCCCTCCTCCTATACACACGATTTGCATGTTTATGGATGTTAAAAACATATCATATTATATATTATTACAAAAACATGTTTCGGGTGTAGAGATAAAATTAATTCTAGGGGGTAAGCAATGATTTTCTAGCATAGCGACTACTGTACCGTTATTGGACATTTTGGGTTATCATGGGGCTGACTTGCTACGCTTAGGTACCTTGTCTTTACCAACATTAAAAACAAATAACTACACAAATATATTACTCTGTTTTAAGTGATTACAATAGAGTTTAAAATGTATTAATCGCTTGTTGTCTGTTTTTAGTCCCATGTCGATGAACTTTGGCATGCCTAGTGGCAATAACGAAAACGGCCTGTCGTTGCCCATCATGCCGGGCCACCACTCGATGACCGGCGACCAACGCGACACGTACGGTTGCATGTCGAGGCCCACGTACGACACTTCTCCGCCGTTGGCCATCGGAACGCCTGGCTACCTGAGACCACCGCTGTCGCCGACTTCCAACGGTAGTCCGCCGGCTCACCACGCCGCCTATCACCATCATCCGCCGCACATAAACGGACACCACCCGCATCACCACGCTCACCATCAGTACAACATGAACAGTTCCAATTCGACGGGTAAGCAACCATTATAATGCTCGTTTAATTAAGATACACCCAACAATGGTCGTTTGCACAAACTATACTTCAAATGTAAGTAGATGAAAAAAACTCATAGTTTCAGTATTGCTTATAACTACTTTAGTATCTCTAAACGTTTAAGTATAGTCGGTGAAAAAGGCCAAAGTGTAAGTGTAGTGACTAGTACTAGTCACTAGCACCTTCATCCATTACACAGTATAATAATGTACTTATAATGGCTAGTGATATTTGATCTCGAGGTCTTTTAAGGACCGGATGAGCTTAAAATAAAAATATAATATTAGTTATCCCTATAGTCACATTATTCTTGTGTTTATTGTGTTAAAGGTCTTATATCGCCGGGAGTATCGGTACCGATCGCCGTTCCGGGACACACGACAGATCTGTCCACTCAGTATTGGTCTCGTTTGCAGTGACATCCGGCTCTCAATTAAAAAAAAAAAAACAACAATATTGTATTAAATCAATGCCGTGCGATTTCCGACGAGAACATAAGTTTATTAATATATATTGTAAATATTATTGTAATTATAATATAACTCATTAAATAGAAAAAAAATATTATATTGAAAGTGTAAACAGTTAAAATAAAAAAATAAAAAAATTGTCGAATTAATATTCTGTATAATTTAAAATTATTTTAATTTTTATTATTATTATCATTGTAAATCGTTTCGATAACAACGTAAATTGTCGTCTAAGTATACCAAAATTATATAAATAACATTATTATGTACTTAAAAAGTGTACGATTATTTTTTTTGTTTAAATTAAAACATTTTGTCAAAGTTCACGAACACCTTTGCGCATTGACCGCACGTAAGTATGTCCTCTGCGGTGACCGTCACTCTGGTTATGTCTCGGCTCGGTGTTTTTATCTATAGAAGATGTGGTTGTGCACCCTGACAGATACAATCATGAAATATTGTTAACAGGACGCCACCCAGGCCATTTCTAAGGAGTAAGGTATAGGCAATTTTTCGAAAAATTTTAATTTAGAGTTTGAACTATAGTGTGTATACTTATTAATACAGTAATGAGGATGCTTTGTAGATTCCCAATTTTTGTCAGAGTATCACAGTCATTTCTATAGGATAAATTACATTCAATTTTTTCCCCATCAAAAACTGCTTAGCGCGGATTAATTTTTCTCAGGCTTCATGTATAGTTTATTAGGGAAGAAATTCCTACGCATTATACATGACAAAATTATCTGTGCTCCAGCATCCGTATTTTTTCGATATACCTAATATAACCGACGCTATATCGTTTTTAAAAAAGTCCTTTCTTAATTAATTAGTATTCATTAACTGGTTGAAATATTAAAAAAGGGCCACGGTAGAGCACAGACAATGTTAAATTCACACATAATATTATGTCCGTGTCAAAAGGTCTGATACCGCAAAGAGTGTCCGATTTAAATATACCTTTTTTTATTATATGTAGAGGAAGGCTTCCTAGTTCTTATAACGGAATGCTATGGGTTTAATTTTTTTTTTTCATTACATTATCAAAAAACCTCAAATTGGTTAAAAAAACACGCCAATGTAAGGCTAAGCATTTTAAACTTTCATCTAAGTTATCAAAAAAGGATTTTAGCTTAAACTTGTGACTTAATCAATTAAACTTGGTTTAACTTAACGAAGTTATTATATTAAATTAACTTTGTCAGCCTTGCGTAAAAGTTATGAAGAGCTTATGTCAGCCGGCTATCTAAGATAACTTAAAATTTGAGCAGAAGGAATGGGTAAGTTATTGCGTGTTATGTAGGACAATCTCTTGGTCTGAGCGTGACCAATGAACGGACTTGGTCGTTCGTTGATTTTAATCCATTGTTTCAGTATTGCTTAACTACTTTAGCACCTTATGGTATAGTTGGTGAAAAAGACCAAAGTACTAGTCATTATACTCCGTTCGGAATAAGAAGCGAGTATAGTATAAATGCACTATACTAGTATACCTAGTATAAATATGGTGCCTAGTGATATTTATTTGATTTTGAGATGCTAAGAAAAATGCCTAACATTTCTTTATTGTTCTCTAGTCCGCTCAGTACTAGAATATGGACCCATTTTATGGAATCCTTATACTATCAATAATATTGAGAGACTTGAAAGAATACACAAAGAAGATTCATTCGCTACATCGGATACAAAAGAAACATCAACTAATACCCTCGGTAATCCTTCCATGGACAGTATCCAGATTGATCATAAACTTGATTCTCTTTTAACCCGTCGCAAAATAGCTGATATCTCTTTCTTACACAAATTATTAAACGGAATCGTTTCCTGTCCACCACTGTTAGAACAGATTTCCTTCCACGTACCTCAGCACTTATTCCAGATTTTGTCCAACATATTTCATATAAAAATCCACCGCACAAATTACGGTTAACACAACCCTTTAAATAGGAAGGCAACTTATCTAACTTTGATTTTTTCTCCAATAGTCTATCAGACCTGAAGCATTATTATTCCAATTTTTGACTGTAAATTAAATTTTTTTTTTTGTACTATTATTATATTGAACATTACTTATATTTTTATATCTCACGCATGTGATCATACTTATGTAATTTACTAATTATGTACCTGTACTTGAGCCTTTCAGGCGTTAATTCAATAAAGTAAAAAAATAAAAATAAAAAATGACATCCCGAGGATGAGTGTATCACAATAATATGTTATTTGTCCCTAAACACACATTTTTTGTTTTGTTAAAAGTCATATATTGTGGGGGGTGTCGGTGTACCTATCATTGTTCAGGGACACACAACACGCCTGTCCCATTGGGATCTCAATGAAAAAAATAAACAATATTGTATTATATCAATTTCATGCGATTTTTGTCGAGAACAGAAGTTATAAATACATAACATATAATAATTATATCGTATTATGTAATAACAACTCAACTCATTAAATAGCGAAAAAATATATTACGAATAGTGTAAAAAAATTAAAATTAAAAAAACATTTTCGAATTAATATTTTGTATAATTTTAAAGTTAGATATTTTATTATTGTTGTAAATCGTTTTGACAACAACAATGTTATTGTCGAAGTATACCAATATAAAATATATCATATACTTCAAAATTGTACAATTGTTTTTTGTTTAAATAAAAAAATTAAAAGAAAACACGACAAAACGAATTTTCTATTGTACAAACAAATCTCTAACGATGATCAGTCAAGTTGTCACGCGGGTTCCATTCTAGAAACGGAGTTAGTTTTGAAAGTGAACACTTGCACCTCGTCGGACACACAAGCCGTCGAGTCTATGTCGTGACAACCTTTCATGTGTTCGGTCATGTTCGACTTTGTCCGGAAGCATTTGCCACACACGGAACACTCGAACGGTTTTTCTCTGGTGTGGACGCGTTCGTGGTTTAACAAGGCCGTGTACGTGCGGAACGGTTTGGTGCAGTACGTGCACTTGAAACGCTGTTCACTGTCGGTCAGCTTAGTGTCGCTCTTCATCAGCCAAAGGCTGTTGTTGTGCACACGCTTGTGTTCCAGCAAGTTGCCTTTGGTCCGGAACGGTTTGGCGCAGAGCTCGCAGACGAACGGTTTCTCCCGGGTGTGAACGCGCTTATGGTTCTCCAACGTGGCCGCCGATCGGAACTGCTTACCGCAATACGGACACCGTCTGTCCGCGTTGATGTCCGTGTGCGCGCTGTCGCAGTTGCCACTTATGTGCGCGGACAGTTGCGATTTGGTGGGGAAATTCTTGTTGCACTTTTCGCACGTGAACTGTTCATCCACGTGGGTGCGTTCGTGCGCCGCCAGTTCGTCCAAGTTGACGAACACCTTTGAGCACTGGCCGCACGTCAATATGTCCTCCGAGGTGACCGTCACTCTGGTTATGGACGGGATGTCTCGGCTCGACGTTTTCATCCATCGAAGCTCTGGGTTATGCACCCTAACCGACACAAAGGTAAAATACTATTAATGACAAACCACAACTATGTTTCACACTTAACAACAAACTTAAGAAAACAAAATATTAACAAGTGTACGCTACACGGATCAACGAATTTTTTTTTTGGGTCGAGTAAGTTCTGGTTGCTAAACTCCGATTTTTCCCCTTCAAATTACCTTAGTTAGTCCATTAAATTAATTTTAAAATCTTAACCCATCTCATTTATGAATAACAGAATTTAACTTTAACTTGATCAAATAAATTTGATTCAACTTGACCAAGTTAATATAAATATTTAACTGGACTAGCCTTAAGTACAGTTGGTGATATCAAACTGTCATTTATGCGGTCAGAAATTAAATTTAAAAAATCGCGTTTTGTAGGAAGTTCTTCCTTCAGAAAAAAATACGAAATCTTGACTACTTTGCTTTTTTCTCGTAAACAACATTATGGACGAATAACTTAATATATTTCGTTTTTATCGTTATAAACTTAATTTTGATACTAAAAATATACATTGTCTGCTCCCAAACTACTAAGGATCCTAACGCTGACTCAAAATTCGCGTTGACCGGTGTAATAAAAAATAATCACAACAAGTTAGTCGATTTGTTTTGAAATGAAATAAAAGCGTTTGTAAATATGTGTAATAAATTTAGTATGGAAAACAAATTACAAATTTAACAGACAGACCGGAAATCGAACCCAAGTTTCCCTTTTTGGCCGGTTACTCTATCACCTATTGGCTATCTGCAGATTTATCTCTAAATTAATTTTACGCTCCAAATAAGGACCCCCACACTTTCAATGAGAATGAATACTACATTACTATTTTTTTTAGAGCCATATGAAATTACCAATGGTCTTGTATAAACGTGTATAAATTAAGTAAATTATACTGAATTGGCATGTTTGGTAAAAATCTCTGGGAAGCAAGACTTTAACCACCGCTGTTTTTTCAGACCTATATTTTAATGTCGTTGTAAGGTGTTTCCCTATCCATGTATATATTGATATTTATTACTGATGTCAAATTAGTCTCTTCATCCGGTTTGTTTCTTCGAGCATTATAAATATTAATTAATGAAGCCAATAAATAATAAAATATAGGTATTACAACAAATAAAAAACCCATTATTACTTATTCTGTATCTATCAGAGGCGAGTTAAACATGTTCAGTTCTTTAGGAGTAAGCATAAAGTTCGTTGCAATAAATATGTTTCTTTACAAAAAAAAAAATGATGTTGGATTTGGTTTTTAAAGAAAAGTATGTGTTCAAACGACCTTCAATATAGTTATATAATTTTAACAAACAAAACCGATAAGTGGAATATCAAAAACAAGTAAAAACTACTTTTTGTTATATAGTATTATGATAGGTAACCCATAATTTATTACCGGTAATGTTCGTTTAAGTTGGACTTGGTCTTAAAGAACTTTTCGCAAACGCTGCACCCGTATGGGCGTTCTCCGGTATGAGATCGCATATGATTGACAAGAGTATAGGCCGACAGTAGCTGTTTACCGCAAATTGTACATTGAAAATCGCTAGTGGTCGAGTCTAAATTAGTTTCTTCGTTCACCGATATTTGTATAACGTCGTCCATGACTTCTTCTTCTTCTTCAGTTTGAACAATACAACTGGGCAATTCTATTTCGTTTTCTATGGTTTGATGGTCGACCATGCTTGCATCGTCAATAAGCTGCTCTTCGAACCGATTGTGGTCGACTAATAAAACATTTTTTGTAACCATGTTGGGTTCCTCAGGTACGATTTCTATTTGATCCTGAAATACAATCACAGTTCATTACAATTAAATAAGCCACCAATTTATCATAACAGTTCATCAATGAATACTGAATTTAAAACTAGTTTGACATTTTTCAAAAATGTATTTATCTAAATAGATAACGTTTCATACTAATAAAATCACAATGTAATTATCCTAAAAAAAATATTTGATATTTTCATATGGTAACTACTTTTAAACATTATTCTTTTATATAATTAATTTATTACAATTCTTAATTTGTCTAATGTATAAAAAATTATAACTTATAATCACTTTAGTACAACTTAAAATACAATTTTTTTATAAAAGTGTAAAAAATATTCATACTTTGGTTCCAAAATGGCTGTTTTTATTTACAAATAAAATTAGTTAGATTAGTTCAAGTTACAATTTTTTAGTCTATATTTGTTAACTGAATTGTATTGCAAAAATATTAAATATTGATAAAAACATTTTATAGAAAACTTGTAAGATGATAATTTGCTTAAATTTTTAAATTTCTTATCTTTTAACTTGCCATATAAAAAATGTTTTATAGTAGTTTAGAAGATCTTATGGATCGAGATACAAAGAGGAAAAACAAAACCGCCATAAATGTAAAAACAATATCTTTTTGCTTCACATCAAAACTAAAATTGTTAAATTAATAAGTCATAAACATACTTAGTGTAATTTTACATTTTTTTTTTTAAAAATATTAATATTAGTATAATATTTTATTTTATTAACATGTACCTTCTATCGTTTGAACTACTCCCAGATGTCCCAACACATTAATACCATAATATTGTAAACGATATCTATTTAAGTTTATTAAATTTATCTATTGTATTATTTTAAATCTATTATATAAAACACATTTGTTAATATTAAAAAAATATATATATTTATTAAAGTAATATATTGAAAAACTTCATTTGTCTTTAAGCCTTAAATGAATCGATTGGTGTCTTCGAGCTTTTTGTTTAGACATAAATTTCTTTCCACAAAAACTACAAGCAAACGGACGTTCGCCTGTATGAGTACGTTCGTGTATAGTTTTATGAGCGCTCTCAAAAAAACGTTTCCCACAAAACGAACAAAGAAAATTTCTAACATTGTCGTGATACCTCATGTGTCTATTATATTCAGCTCTAGTATAAAATGTCATCGTACACTTTTCACATTGGACATCTTTGGCAGAGTTGTGGGTCATTTCGTGTCTATCACGACCATAAGGTGTTACAAAACCTTTACCGCAATACAAACAGACGTAGTTAAAGCTTCCATTATGTTTGTTTTCGTGACGTACGAGCGTTAAATATGATTTAAAATACTTGTCACAGTATCGGCATTTTATTTTTTCCCCGGGTGTATGTGACTTCATGTGTAACCAAACTTGTTGTATAGTAACAAACACAGCATCACAAAAGTGACATTGATATGATGTTGAACACGACTCTTGCCTTTTCTCATAGCTTCTAATATGTGACAATACCCCAGAAACAGTTTTAAAGACTTTATTACATTTCTCACACAAATAACTACCGTCTACGTCAGTATAAGAATTATTTGTGCATTTTTCATTATCTCGTTTGCAAGAGTTTTTTAAGTTTTCACATCTATCACAATACCCGGCGATTTCTTTTAATTCCAGTTGACTCTTACAGTTAGATACAATTAACACTTCATTGCAAAATTGACATTTCCTATGTCTATCAGGATATTTTTTGAAATGAAGGGCCAGTTGCTTTGATGTTTGAAAGTCTTTACCACAGTCTTCACAAAGAAAATACTTTTCATCTATATTTTCTATACTTGATTGGGGACTAATTACATTCTTATCTGAGTGTGTACCGTCATTCCAGCAGCCCTTTACTTCTATTATTTCAATATCGTCCTGGAACACACATTAACACCAAAATGTATTAAATAAACTTTAAAAGATGACACTGGAACGACGGTATCTACACCAACTGAACGCTTCATAATTTCATATATTAAAATGAAAAAACATCCGTACCTTATTATCACTATTGGAAATTGCAGCTTCATTTCGTAACCATTCATCGGTGGCTTTACAACGAACTCGAAATTCAATAAATGAGTTGACTTGATCGACACAAAACTTGCATACAGAGTTCGGCAATGAATCATCAACACTAAACTGTTAACAAACAACACTGCTGTATAAAATATAACAGCTTACAATAAAATACAGTATCTAATTAACTTACACTGAGATTTGTAGTTTCTTGGACATTTACTAAAAAACTCTCCTCATAATACAAGTTTTGTAACGGTTGATCGTTGCGTAAACATAATCGGCATAAATCGTTCCAATTTTCTATATATATAACACCTTGGCTTTCAGTTTCCATTGTAAAACAATAATTTAACTCGCACCATAAACTACTAAGGTCAGTAACTAAAAATTAACAAAAAAAAAATACCTAATGTTCTTTTTTTCGTAGTTGGGAAAACTCTCCAAGTCAAAACAGTACACATAACTAATTCCTTATCAACGTTCAACTACTATCAATGATAAGAAAAACAACATGGGCGGCTTAAACAAAATTATAGTTTCCATGTGTTTGCTTTCATAATATAACAACGTTATCATTAATCATAACCATCTATCATTTTACAGAATATTTTGGTTATATATTTTTATAATTTATATATATTGTCGGTTGTCAGGAGTCAAGACTCGAATTGCTTAATTAAAGAACCTTTATTATTATAATATTGTCATCGGTTATAGCTTAAGTACTCGAATCTTTATGCTGTCAATTGCGAAAACATTATAAACTATGATTAAAGACTACACGTAAACGTATTACAACTTAGGTAAGTTAATTAAATTATATTTATTATATCCTGTTATTTAGTTTGTATACTATTTTAAGTATATAATTCTACTACCTCAATTTAGGTACGTTAAAGTATTCTGTAGTGTACTTTATTTAATATTTTATTTATCAATTTGTATTCTTACTTAATAATTTCTATTCTTATAATTCACTTGTAATTCTACATTACATTTCATTAAATATGTAGCGATTTTATTAATTATAATTCTATATTAGTCTTGGTATGATGCAAACATCGTAAATAAAATTATGTGTAATTGTGAAAAACCGTAAAATATGCTAAATTATACAAAACAAGTTCTTGAATTAGGATTCTTTAAAATGAAATTGAAATTTGTAGACTATCTAGCTATTTTTAGTAAAAATATGCAAATGCTAGATCTTCCAAGTTCCGGGCCCTAATTATTATGTAAACAACTCAAATGTACCTAGAGAAAATAAACTGTTGTTAATAGTGTACAACAATCTAATAGAAATACTTAATTATAAAATGAGTTTATTTTTTTTTTATGTAAGTGTTAAAAAACGAGTTTCTTAATTTTGTTTTTATTTAAAGTGATGCCTCTAGTACATAACAAGCTCATGAATTTTCCAATTCACATTAATCATGTTATCTAAAAATAATACATCCAACAGTTTACACTATTTAGGTTGACGTCTGGTAAAATTTAAGTTTAAGAACGGTTAAATAACATGTATATTATTTATTAAACATTCATTGTTATTATTGTATGTCTTCCAGATATAATTGATGTGAATTAATTTACATTTTAAGTTTCGTAAGAAATAAAATCTGTATTTGCTTATCATGAGTCGTGGTGGAAAATCTAAAAATGCTTATCTTCCTGGAGATTTGGTGGCGTTGGGTTCAAAAAGCAGTAGTCGTGTTGAACCAAATCCACAAGAAAAACGAGGTAGTTCTCTGCTACTGCACAGGAAGTTAATGGAATCAAGTTTAACTGGTAATTTTATGATTTCAATATTTCCCAATTTTGTTTTAAATCAGTTTGTTAGTTAAATGTTTAAAATGATCTATTTAATTTTTATTTTACAATTTCAGATAGAAAACGACCTGGACCCCCATTGGCAATTCCTATACCAAGTAAAAAACCAAAATCGCATTCAGGCCATAGTTCGTTTGCTTGGGAACAAATGAGTATAGAAGTAGATTCGATTGATTTGTTTGAATCGTTAAACTATGCTTTTCAAAATCAAGAAAACCTCAAGGCCGTAAGCTACAAATATTTTTCTTTAATCAAATTATTCAAAATATATAGACAAGTTTCTGTTTTTTAATAGATTGGTCTACTTTTTGGAGCATTCAAATCCATGCATACACAACGATTGAAGCCTGATCTCTTTTGGAGTTTATTAATCACCGCTAGAACTTACCCTACATTATTTCATAATGAAGAGGTGATAAATTCTCTATGTTCAATTATATCGTGTCATTCTGTTGTTTCTACAAAACAGCGTCAATACAACATAGTAGCTGCGGTTACGTCTATCAATTTGTTAATGACAACGCACGATAAAGTAAACCATTGGCCGGATGCTTTTGTTAAATTGTTCATTGACGATTCCATGGGAGAGAGATTGTGGGTAGAAAATGAAGAGTGCAAACTTTTTATTGAAAATATAAAAATTAGCCTAAACACTCGTACATCCCCTTTTATTCCTTTGGACTTTTTGGATACCATGAGTTCTGCTGAATCTACATCATCGTCGTTTGAACCTAATGAAGTGTCTGTACTAGCAAGATATTCTACAAATCAAGCGGCTACTGAAAATTTATTTGTAGACATAGCTAAAGAGTATTTGGTTCGAAGACAGTCTAATGAAGGAATATCAAGGAACTTATTAAAATTACTATCGGCTGCTGCAGGAATTTTAGAGGTATATAATTTAAAAAAAAAAATTTACAGGTTTGAATTTAGGAAGTTGATTGATTGTAGTAATATTTGTAACTCATAAAAAATGTTCCCACAGGTTCGTGTAATGGTTGCTAGTAAATTGGAAGTGTGGTTACAAAATGCTAAACTAGTACGGCCTGCCCAAGAGTTATTATTGGCCGTTTGTGTGAATTGTATATCGCACACTCAAAAGGATTTTGATGTTATTTCTACTATTGTTAAAATGCGGTTAAAAACAAAATCAATAGGCAACTTCTACGTGTCTTGCATTAAGTGAGTTCAGTTGTTTTGTAATAAAAAATTGTTTTTGAGTTTGAAATAAATTTGAATTGTTTTTTTTTTTTCTTAGGGAGTTAATTACAGCAAATGCTGCTAATTTACCAATTGTATTAAAAAATGTAGTTTACAATGAAATGTCCACATCACGAAACACAAGTAACATGGCAATACTTCAAGTCATTTTCAAGGCTGAACCAGATCAGACTGCATTGCTTTTAGCTGATATTTTTCAGGTTTTATATGTTCTATTTATGTATAATTTAATATATTGTTTATAATTCTTTTCATTGTTATAGGAGTTGCTTATTTTGAGAGATGATTATTTACGATCGCTTCGAGTATTTTTAAGAGAAATATTTCGTCAAGTACGAAATGAATTTAATTTCTTAAAATTTTGTCAAGGCCTCATGAGTAGTAATAAAGAACCAAATGGAGCTCCTGAAGTTAAGGATCGAGTTTTTACTGGCATTGTTGATCTCTTAACGCTATGTATATTTCTGTCTGTTTATCCTTACATGCGCTCCGAACGAAAAGACATAGTACAGGTATGTTTATTTTTGTATACTACACTTTAATAGATAATTAAAAAACTGCGTTCAATTTATCAATTTATATATATTTAAAAATATCAGTTTGAAAAGATGCAACATGCTATTTCTAAAATTCAAAAAGATGGAGTCGTGTGGCTTCACGATGTTGTAACTAAAGTGTATCGACCCTCGCCTACCGATTTTGTTCATTCTTTACACAAGGTAAATTTACATTAAAAATAACTTTTACCTGTATATTGTTTTTATATTAATTTTAGCTAACTCCTAAATTCATTAATATTTATATAGATACTGCTAATGGAGTCTGCCGATCAATATTATAAGTTAGAAAGTTGGCCTCCAGAACAAGATAGAAGTTTAATTTTTAGACTTGCCACTGAAGTACCAATATTGCAGGGAATAATAATTACTATTCTTAAAATTGGTTTATCTAAAGAACACCCTCTGAGCTCACCCGATGCTTTAGAATTGGTCGATCAGTTAGTAAAGCGTGCAGCTGCTTTACAAGTCTACCAAACTCCTAATGCTATTCGAGGTATTTAAATAGTTTTTTTTTGTTGAAAATAATACAATGTCAAGCAGTAGTGTAGTAAAGGGTATAACAATTAATCCACCTTCCACTTTTTTATTTATGCATGTATTCATGTACCCTATATTTGGGTACACCATTGATGTTGAGTATAAATAATATATTTATTATGTACTATTTTAGCTGACAAAGATGAACTATTTGATTTTCTATTGAATTCATGTGCTTATCATCATCCGGAAAAAATTGAACTTCCTTTGGGCTATACTCCACCTCAATTAGCGATATCAAATTTATATTGGAAGACCTGGCTAATAATGTTGATATATTGTGCCCATATACCTTCTATTTTTGGAACATTAGCTTGCAGAAAATATCCGATGTTACGCATTTTCATTGAGATGTGTATAACCAACAACTTTAACTTCCCTCCGTTTTTAGAAGATCTACAAATACAGTCTGTTGAAAAACAGAAAATATTAGAATTTGAATCTTACTTGGCTGCTGCATCAACTAAAGCGACAATAACAGAACAGACTAGCTTGTTATTAAGCCAGCTCATGGGAATGGATCCCGCTGGTCCACCGAGGCGTCCGCCTCCTGTAGTTTTGGATCAATTGAGAGTTATGAACACAAACTTGCGCATTGGTCATTTATTGTGCCGATCGAGAGATCCCGATTTTCTCTTGGATATAATTCAACGCCAAGGTACATCCCAATCAATGCCTTGGTTGGCCGATTTAGTGAACTCGTCTGAAGGTTCACTTAAGTAAGAGCATTTATTTTTAATTTTTTTTTTTTTATTGGATGATAATGTTAATTAAATCTTTACATTTATTAGCCATTTGCCAGTCCAGTGTTTATGTGAATTTTTATTGAGCCCCAGTTGCCGTCAACAAGGTAAATTTAATCAACTTTTGAATCATTTGAAAAAGTTGCTAACGCACCAAGATACTGACCCAGCTATAAGCTGTGAAGTTTTGGAGTATTTTTTGAGACGTCTTAGTTCACCTACTAGTAGACAACATGCTATTTTGGTAAATTGTATTTCTTATTTATTGTTTATTATTAGTTTCTTAAACATGCTTTTTTCAATTATTAATTTAGGGTTTAAAGTTACTGTTAAATGCAACCGATGAAAAAACCATTGATATTGATAAAGTAATAGAAGCTAAAACTGATGTATCTTGGTTGTTAACGAGTTTGCCTCAGTTGCCAAATTTCTCTGCATTTAAATCTCAGGTAATTTAATAAATAACTTGATATTTACAATATATTGTAAGTATAATTGATTAAGCACTTTCAATTTGTATTCATTCATACATTTTACAAATTGTTTAGATTGTTATCGCTCTAAGACAAGCATGCCAAGTAGAAAATGATCCACATTTAATTACCGCCTATTTGACTTTCTTGGCTGAACAAACATCCGAAGTAGATAAAGGAGGTAGTCTCACAAATGATCAGCTTGCAGAAATGGTGCTGGATATGGCTCAATTAATTGTCGAAAGAAGCACGGTCATGTCCGCAGTACTACCAGTATCGACAGATACAGTAACGGTTTTTAACGTGGCACTCAACTCTCTAGTCAATATATTTTATTCGTTTCTCTGTAGAGTATGTAGAATGCATTAGAACAGAAATTGTTGAGTTACAAGTTATTATAATATTATATTTTCTAGGCTAGAGAACCGTGTCGCCAAAATCATCCTTGGTCGGAAAATCAAGATCAAATCCTCGTTACATGGCCAGGTGGCCAAGAATGCACGTTACATATTTTGGTCGTCCATGCTATGATAATTTTGTTGACTTATGGTCCTCAGTGTATTCAAGACTCGATGAAATTTGACCATTTGTTAGAAGCTTGGTTTCCAACAGACAGAAGACTTGTACCAAAAGTAAATAATGTTTATGTAATGTAAAGTGTATTTATGTAGTGGTGTAGCCACAAGAGTATACTCTGTGTACCCACATCCCACTTTTGTATATATGTGTCCGAATGCATGTATGCATGTACTTTATTTGGGGATAGAGTATACAATTAGACACAACATATACCCTACGACTATACAACTGTTTATAAATAACCAGTGTTGCATGTATACATTTCATAATTTATGTTTAGGCTTATCTGGTTGATACTTCTGAAGAAGCTTTACTTATACCAGATTGGTTAAAACTCCGAATGATAAGGTCTCGAGTTCCTAGACTTGTAGAAGAAGCATTAACCGATCTGGAACCACCCCAATTAATATTATTCATTCAGTCGTTTGGTATTCCAGTTGCATCAATGAGGTTATTACAATCTACTAAGAAACAATAAATTTGAATTTGTTATTTATATTAAGAAAAATGATCTTATAGCAAACTATTAGAAATTTTGGACCAAGCCGTGTGTCACGATGCAGAAGCCATCAAAGCGGCTGTCATGGACAAAGCTTATATGGTGCAACTTGTCCAAGTGCAACAAAGACGTGGAGCTCAAGGAGGCCAAGTGTTTGCATCTGTATTAACGTCCAACGAAGAACCAATGGTTTTGGACGTTGCATATAAAACAAATACATCTAATAATTTGAAAATACAAAGTATTATATATTATATTAAATTATTATTTTAAAAAATGTATTTATTTAATTGTTGTTTTTTTTTTTTTTAACAATTCTACAGAAAAACCAATAGTTGTTGAAAATCAAGAAAAGGTTTTCAAAATTGGATCGATAATAAGAGATTTGTATAGTTGCAAAATGGAAGGCAAAGAATTTTTGTCGTTATTACAAGTAAAACATAATTATTTTAATATATTTTTTTGAAATCAAATCACTTATTATTAAAAAAATTATTATTTTTAGTCGTTGTCGCAAGATACAAAATATTTAGGTCAAAAACTAATGCAATCCTTGTTGAGAAAAATGTTAAAAAATAAAGAGTTTGTTGGTGTGATAATTACAAATAAAAATTTGTCATCTCTTCTAAGAGTTTTGATGGCCAAGTATGGTCACAACAAAATCTTGTTGTGTATTGTTAAGCTGATGGTTGTTCAAATCGACAAGAACAAACAACCAAATACATTGTACACGTCGATTATGGATTATATTAATAAATATGGTTAGACTGCCAAGTATAACCTTATTCTAATATATTTTTAATTAAAATAATAAATATTTTCTAGAAGAAAAAAAGAAAACTGTTCAAAGTCTGAAGAAAGAAAATGAATCTGAATCAATGGAAGTCGATGGAGTAAATAAGGGTAAAAAACGATCTTTGTTTGTTGATTTACCCAAAGAAATTGAAATAAAAATAGCAGGCTTGACTATTGAACAACAGGTGAATTATAGTTGATAAAAACTTATTTGAATGGAATTAATATTTAGCTTAATTACTTTTGCAGGTTAACATGTTATTTATGAAAACTGTTAGTGAAAAATGGGATTCGGTGAGGGATTGTAGACCATACTTGTTGACTTTACTAAATCACCACATGAATTGGTCATCGTTGGAATGCGTTTTAAATATACTTTTAGATTTGAATAATTTTGAAAAGTAAGCATAAATAAAATATGTGAACTCAAAAGATAAATCTCTGACAACTATTTGTTAAATTATTAGTTTTCTGTTGTGTTTTATTGTACTGTTTCTTTTCTTATTATTATTTCTTAATTATTTTTGTACGGTTTTAATTTGGTTATGTTGTTAGACCTTAATTAACTGTACATTTTGTTATTTATATTTTTAGGTTCGAACCTTCTTCTGTGTTAGATTTAATATCAGCCATTACTACAAATCCAAAATTATGGCAAGGAAGAGAAATGAATGCTCCAAAAAGTAAAACTGATGAAGGACTAATGTTTCTTGACGATAGCCAGGTTTAATATTTGTGAACAATAATATTTTGTTATCGAGTCAATGTTGTTAACTGATTTTTTTTTATGTAGGTCACATCTTTGCTGCTCTATATGATCGAAGAATGTAAATTAAAACACGATGATCCAAACATAACTTGGCCTGAGTTATCGACTTATATGCAAACAAAACTATCGGTTTTACTTAAACATTGTTTGGTGAAAAATGATTATGTTCGAATATTCCATGAAGTTTACTTAAAATATATTAACAGGTAAAAAATATAATATTATCTTAAAATATAATACTAGTTAAATTGGTATCTTATCATCTTATAATTTACATTCCAATCTTGTGAACCTCTTATGACAATAATGATGTTTGAATTTTCTGTTCAGTACTAACTTTACAGTTTTCAAACAAATATTGAGCCAAGTTTATGCTAATGAACCAAACATTTTGAGCAAATTGCAACATTATGGCATGGATAGTATCTTAGACCCAGCTATAATTAAAGGTATGAATTATAATATACATTTGTACAGTGAGTGTAAAAAAAATTCATAGTTTGTACACCCTATTTTTTTTTCTAAATATTTATTTTCTTCCTTGATATTACATTTTTTCTCTAAACTAACATTAATTGTGTATTTTTCTGAAGTAATTCCATACATGGTCTGCTGTATGTGGTGTTGTTGGTATCATTGCTGCCGAAAAACGTTTACGCTATATAGTAAATTTTTTTGGTTAAGGGTTTATTTAAATATTGCATTATTTTATTTCTTTACTATTGATTATGCAGTCGTAAAATCAGTTCTCGTTCAGTTTTATTATTTTCGAACCATCTTGAAAGTAATATCTTTCACAAAAGTACTAAACTGAATTGGGTTATTTATTGATAATATTCTAGGTTTAATTGAGTGTTCCCAAAGAATATTATTTTATATGAACTAACTATTTTGTGAAAAATATTATAATGTACTTTTTATTTATTGTTGCGTGTATTTTGGTTATTGCTTCCTCGAAGAAAAAGCTACAGTTCCCTAGACATATTCTTTCTTGAAAATAAATTTACTTGTAATCAAGTAAAAAAAATGTATTTATAAATGTTTAACATTAATTTTATAAAAAAAAGGATATGCCATGTCTTCAAAATCTTATTATCTTTTGTTTACGTTTTATGTATTTTTGCTCTAAAATCATCATGGAGCGTGTCAAACGCATTTTGCTTAGGTATGTTTTAATGTTAGAAAATAGGCTTTAAAACTTTTAGGCCTTGATAAGAGATTTATTGGATAATTTGTTACCTTGGAAACCTATTCGCTTTTGGTCTTATGGTGATTTAATTTATAGTATAAGTAGAATTATTTTTGAGGAAGTTATAAACTAATAATTTGACAGAAGTTTTTGAATTTGTTTAAAACAAACACATTGACAGGTTCAATGACTAAGACTTTCGTTTTTTTTTTCCGTAATACAATCGAGAATCACTTGAGAATAATATACAAATGCTAGGTCATTAAAAAATTGAATGTAAGATTACTTATTACACTTGCTGTATATTATTTAGAATTGTAAAACATAATACTGTTACTCATAAGATTAATTTGTAATTATTGTTTAGAAAGTGAAGGATGTGCTTTGGATTCAATTTCTCATACTGTTGTGTCTTCCATTGTGTCTACTAAAATAAAGAGAGAGAAAGAGTTGGTTAAAAAAATGTACGACTACGAAACGCTAGCAAAAAGACTGAGCACTACGCATCCACTTCTATTCTTGAGGTTTAAAATCTATACAATATTATAGTTATTAATTGCTAAATTTAAATTTTCTTGTTTGGCATTAACGTTAATCAATATTTTTAGAGTGTTTGAGCTGTTATCGGCACCGTTAGGACGATGTTGCTACTTGGAATTCAAAGCGATGAAATCTGGTCATCTCCTACTTTTACAAAATACTCTAGATTTGGTAGAGAGTTTAGAACCTACTATTTATTTGCCGTTTTATACAGAACCTATACACAAGCTCCTAGGAACATTCTTAAATATTATTTGTGTAAGTTTTCATAATATCATCCAATCAATTTTTTTTAATTATACATATATTTTACACAATAGAACAATTTAAATACTCCCAGTGCGACTCGTAAAGATTTTATGACACTTTTGACTAAATTTGGTAATCGTATACACAGTTATATTGGAACCAACTCACAAGACGCAATGGTCTTTATAAAATCAAATATTATATGGTTCAGGTAAGATAAAGTTTGTTTTATTTTAAATTGTGTTATTAATATACTTGGTTTTTAGCAATCTCGTTGAAAGATATAATACAATTGGCAACCTTAATTTACTTATCAGCCAAAACGACAAAGTAATTGTATTGCAACCAACAAATGAAATTTCAAACGATAAGTATGATCAATTCTTCAACTGTTTTAAAGACATTGGTAATTATTGTTCATAGAAAAATGTTATAAGTAGAATGTGTGCTCTTTTTGTGAACGAGTTTATTAAATAGAGAAATAAACTTGTTCCTGAACATTTAATCAATGTACCATATGATATATCAGCATGTGAAAGAAGATGAACACATTTATTTAAAGTATTTTAACGCTTTTAATTTTGAAAAATCGTCGGTAATATGATAAACCTTGTACGTCCATAAATACTGAAAATGTGGTTTATGCTCTCGTATGTGGATCTCTACAGCTTTATGCTGCCAAGGTCACAAATTAGTTGTGCGTTCGACTGATTTGCAACCCTTGTCCCAAAACACTCGCATCATGTGTTAGGCTTTTTTTTTTTGGCTCTGAATGTGAACGTGAACGAGTTAATTAAATTTATTGTGTAAATTTCCTAATAACTATTATTATTAAAATATTTTTGTTTCCCTTAATTTTTAGACACCGCTAATAACATGTTGAACGAACTGGAACGTTCTGGTCACCGAAACAATCATGCTTTGGAACCCTTTTTGAATAAATTAACGACTTTGGTTAGAAACCCTCATTCAAATTATCGACTTCCTTCACTCGGACTTCTCATTCGTTATTTGCAACATAACAGTAACAAGTCTACCGATTCAATGTTATTACCAGCTTTTCTGAATGCATTAATATCTGACGATGATGAGATTTCTAACACCATACGCAATCGTATAGATTCATTAGCAATGTCTAAGGGTAAATTTAAATCTTGTTATTAGTTTAATTAATGTGTACAATATTAAAAATATGACTATAAATATATATATTTCTTTTTAGATATGGCTCTACAGTTGTTGTTGGAAACATTTAAGATAGGAATAAATAAAAGTCTAAGCACTACTGCTATCATTACCAAAGCAATATCTACAATGAATATGCAATTGGGGTGTTAATATTTTATTATGTATTTATTTATAAGTATGTGTAATGTGACAATGTTTATGAACTTTAATTATACTAATAAAACATAGTAAGTTACACATTTTTAACTTGATATATGTTGTTAATATTTTGTAACTTTCTATTAAACTTAAATTTATTTCCCTTCTTTTTTTGCAAGTACGTTCCAAAGGTTTGAACAGTAGAGATAAAAGAACTTTAAGGATATAATACATAATAAGTGATATACAAGTAGTACACAAGAAATTAAATAACAATAACTTTTAATTATTTAAAATATTTTAGACATTTTAAACTCATCACACATTTTGGTACACGGTGATAATTAGTACATTAAAGTTACTCTCATAACTACTATTTTCTGTGAAAAGAATTTTCATGTTTATAAACTAGGTACTTAATTATTATATAATTATAATTTAGTAAAATGCGACATTTTAACCCTTATTTAATATAAATAAAAGCAGAGTACTTAATATTTATTATTAATCCTTTAGTCAAATTTATATAACTATTTGTTCCCAAAAGTATAGAAAAAGATATAGTTTTTTAACTTAACGACATTGATTTTATTATAAATTGATTATGTTTTAGACTGGACTAATTTAATACATTAATTTATATACAATTTCTGTATTAATGAACAATCTTACATTTATTCTATATTTTTACTAATTTTATTATGATTTAGAAAATAATTTAATATCATATATGATAAAACCTTGTTTAAGTTGTAATATGTTTTTAACTTGTGAATTGACAGAAACATAATAATTAAGTTAATAAAATATTATTGAATATTAAAAACACATTTAGTAGAGTTGTATTGTCCAAAATTTAAAATAGTTTGTTACTGCACTTTTATGGAAGTCAAACTAAATATTATTATTTATCATTTAATAGCATAACATGTCTGATATTTAAAATGATAGTAACAAAAACACTACGTTATACTTAAACAAATTTAAGGAGACTACATAAATTATTATTTCTAAATAATTAAAATGATATGTAGTAGATGATAAATGTGTATAATTTGCTAATGATCTTTTAAGAGTAAGTAGGTATAAAAAAATTAAATAAAGGATGAAAATGTAAGAACAAAATTTACTTTAAATTTTATGTAATTAATTTCACTAAATAAACTGTAAAGTACATTCAATATTATTTGCATTGATGACTACTATGAATTAACAATACCAAGTGAGAAAATAGTAAATACTTTGTACATTTCTAGTTAAACTAAAGGAACTTAATGTATCAAGTTACTACATAAATATAAATACTTTTTTTTCCTAAATATGTCTTTGGAGAACAGTTCAAATAAACGTAGCATCCAAAAATCTAACTTTTTAGTATTTAGTTAAAAAAAAAAACTTGTAAATAACATTTTGCATACATTTGATTTAAAAAAATTTGAAATAATTTTATTATCTTTAAATTTTTTTCAAAGAATATATGGTTTTTACATAAGAATTTTTTTCTAACTTCAAAACTATTAAAACCTATTTTTGGCCAAAATGGACAACTGGTTTATGACTGCCCGCCTCCGAAATGACGCATAGAGATTACATTAGTTATTATTTCTGTTTAAAATATTGATAATAAATTTTAAAAAATAGAAAGAAAAATACAACTTAACATTAAGGTCATTTCAAAGAAAATTACCATTTTGATTGTCAACAATTAAAATAATAATAAATGGTTAATGAACAATATGAATTGCTTGACTAGAGTTACACTTTTAATGTGTAAACCAATTTGTGCTCCAGCATTTAATTTATTGGTAACTTAAAAACAATTATTTAATTTTGTTATTGATAATTAGAACAGATTTCCAACATCAATATAATAATTGTTTTGTAAAACTAAAAAAAGGACCTTTTGATAAAAAAAAAATTAACAATGGCAACATCACAAATTATTAGGAATATAAACATTTTGATTTTTTTTTTTATATATTACAATTTTACTGATTAGACTGCAAGATAAACTATTAAAATTAGGTTAGACTATACCCTCGTAGGCAAAAATGCCGTAACTTGAAATTTTTTTTTTTTTTTTAAAACCGTAAGTAAGAAACCATTTTACTTTGTTTAAACGGGTTTTTACAAAAAAAACTTTTTTTTCGAATTACGGCATTTTTGCTCAGGAGGGCAGTATAATACTACTATATTATGTTGGATTAACAATTTGAAAAATTAAATAACCAAGGTTGTTTAAATCAGATATTTAAATGCATCAAAGAACAATTTTAACTACAAGTAGTAATAAAACTACAGCATAACATTAAAGCGTCATTTTCGTCTAAGAAACAAGGTATGCAGTTAACATTGTTAAATTTAATCACATTTTACATTAATACTTATTACTTGATTTGATGTTACTCAAATGTTTTTTTAACATTATTTACAAAGTGAATGGCAAAATTAAAAAATCTTTTAAGAATGTTGCTGAAATAATAACAAAGTGAAATAAACATTATTTTAACAAACTAAATTGGGACATTGATAAAATAATTTTTTTTTTGTTTATGATGTTTAGACAATTAACAAGTTAAACTGACCACGTTTCTCTATACGTTTTAATACAATATGTGTACAGCTAGAACTTTATGCAATGATAATACATAGTACAGCAAATAATACCGAGGTACAGTCAAAAGTGTGAAATAAATATTTCTAGCGTGGATTATTATAGGTTCTTAATAATAATTATTATTTATTGCTTAGATATTTTAATAACATTTCTTAGAATGGCACTCACTTTAATATGACTTACCTTTATTGCAATCTTATTTGTATATCTATTTTAAATATAATGTATTCTAGTTATCTTTATCGACCAATTGGAATCGATTTGAAGGTTGTAACTAATTCATAGGGGAATGATTGTGTTTAGTTGATTAGTAGGCATTCTACTTAGATGTGAGATCTTGAAATCTTACACAGATTGTGGTCATGAAACGTCTGAATACGCCCTTAGCACGATTTTGCCACTCGTTGATTTTTTTGATATTCGTTTCAACTAAAAATGTATAATTAAAAATTGTTATGAAATTACAATATTAGCGATTAATTTTTGAGTAAACTTACAAGAACGAGATCCATTACATTTTTTCTGAAACAAAAATTAGTATTATCATTTATTCCAACTACATTAAAAACTTGTTATTTTTATATTTTTAACTAAATAATTATTAATTTATATAAATTATTTTATTGCACTTTAGTATTACTAGTATTGTACCAATACTATCATAAATTATTTTTAATAGTAGTTGTTAATTTCAAAATACATCTGTCAATAGTAAGTATATTACTAAAACGTGTAAAAAAAAAAATTCTTGACTGTACAAACAAAATTAATTTACATACCTAATTGCATTTATTTAGTCTCAGTACCTATGGTCAAAAGTAATGGCTAGTTAACGGCTGTGGCAGACTATATGAAGTAACTTATTATTCCAATATTGACAAATCTAATAAAAGTATGCAAGTTGCTCGAATATTTTAGTTAAAGTAAACTAATATTTTAGTACCCGTTGATACTTTTTTAAGACACACATTTATATATTAAGTCTAGACAAATACAATTTTCAGATTTTTGACACTGCCAAAAACTTTATTTGTAATACATTTACGATTGTCCTGCACGTTTCAGTCGGCATAGGACTATACTACAGTATAGTTAGCTGGTGATAATTATTATCCAAACAAGTACCTCATTTCGTTGAGCTGCTACAACCTTGGCCGTTTGAATAATATCGTCGACAAAAGCATTGGCTGCTGCTACCAACTGTGGATCGTCTGCTGGCGGTTCGTGTATCATCACCATGGCGATAAATAAGTTACTTTTACTTTAATTAAGAAAACGTTTTATAACGCTTGTACTCTAAAAGGATTCGTTGGGTCCAACAGCTTATGGCCACTATTATAGACGCCGTTAAAATACAATTACGACAACGACAAACGATAATTACAATGAAGGGTTTATAGATCTGTATGATTTGAATTCATAATAATAATAATATTCAATCGATAACGCAGTAGCTTTTGTTATCAACGTTTAAACACTCCTTGGGGACGATACCGCTATTTCTATTATCTTTGCGATAAAGATCATATTTTAACGTGATTGACACACTTCAAAGTTCAAACAGTGTCCCTGTGGTCAAGGTGAATTGTTATCACCAATACAACAGCTTGCCAGCTATGAAAATAAAAACAACACAGATGTCGGCAACCGACGACAATACTGTTGATAAGCGCAAAATGGCAACTGGTGTTTTCGGACGATCGTAATTTGAAATGGCTTATGACAGCAAATGCCAAATTGACGACAGCGAACAGAATTCATGACTTGATAGGTTTGGAAAAAGGGTTTTTTCTGTTCAACACGTCTCCTAAAGGAATAACACAAGTTACACGTATTTATCTTCAGAGAATCAAAATCCACCATCCATCTCATTTTGTTAAAAACCGTTATTTATGTTGTTTCTCAATTGACTGATACAGATATTATTAACCCACCTGTTTATTGTTAGGGGATGAGCTATTTGAGGTGTGTTCTGTAAAATTTTGTTTATTGCGACTTGGCTTAATTTTCTGTACTTACATTTACTACAGCGCTATAGATTTTAAAATTGTAAAAATAAAACTTTTAACATAGACACATATATTAGAGGGGAGAGTATTTGGAACCGAGATGTATTTTAGCGTTTTAATAATACATTATTCGGATTTTTTTTTTCAATTTATTCGAATAAAATGTTATACGAATAATTAACAACATGGATATGTTACTGAGTTGGAGGTCATTCCGAAATTTGCATGGAAAATTCTTATTACAACTTCACATTTATAGTGTTTTTCACTTTTTGGGTATTTTCATTGTAAAAACAAATGTCGTCTACAGATTTTTTTTATACATGAATAACATGATATAACTTATAGGTATGTTAGACCTATCTTCAAACTAATTTTCAGCTCTTATCTAAAATCTCTCTTAAAATTGCGCCTGAAAAATAAATAACAAAAAAAATTACAACCCCCCCCCCCTTAGGTTGGCTTTCAGGTAATATGTGGATAGAGGCATTAGGCAAGCTTGATCAATGTTCTATACAAATTTCGGATTTCAACTCAATTCGACTGTTTTTCGCGAAGATATAGCAAATATTAAAGTTGATGGTTGAAAAACTGTTTTTTTGTTTATCTCGGTTTTGAGTATGAAGGAGTTGACTTTTTCTATTTTTAATCCATCTAAGTACCATCTGCACACGATTTCGGATTTATAGAGGTGCTACACGAGTAATTCGGTCCAAAGGAAAAACAGTTATCGTGTCTACAGACACAAAAAAAAGACACATCATTGTAATACCTTCTCAGCTATCTTTTGCATCGAGGCTAAAAAATAAGCACTAATTATAGCATTAACGTAATTAACATAATTTAAGTATTTGTATTAATGTGCACTAGACAGTGACAAGTGCCCAACTGCCTAATGAATTATAGAGGTTTAAGAACTTTTGGTTGTATAATGGTGTTACATAATACGATTTTAGCCGTGTTAAAAGATTTTGTTCTTAGAATTCACGTTACATCTGGAAATGACACTGATTGATGATATTAAGTCGCAAATTCAAGTATACCTGTAGGTATACGTTATAGTTTATTGAACCTAAATGGACATACTGCACGTGATAAAACTTTAAGTTAATACCGTAATATAGTATTGTTACCCTTTTGAACATGCGTTTCGTGCAGCACTTAAGCGACAAAGCGTTTTAAGGTTATTGGTTTTTCGATTCGAATTAAATACTACTTAAAATGTCCCTAATAAATGTTTAAACATTTATTAGGGACATTTTACCCTTCACTGCACAATGTTCCATGTATGGAACAATTGTATTTATTGTTTATATCTGCTCATGCTATACATCTTTGATGCACAATGTTCCATATTTGGTACAATTTTTTAATTAGCGTTTTCCATGAAACCAAAACTCAAAAAAAAAATTATTTTTATTTTTTTAAGTAGTATTTAGTACATCTAAAGCATATGGTTAAAAAAAAATTCACGCAGTGAAGGGTTAAAGGGTAAACGTGATACATAAATATAGTTTATTAATCATTTAGTCTCTTAGATATAAAACTGCATTGTTACCAAATTAACCACAACATTTTGATATTCATATTAAGAATTACAAAATAATTAAATGATCGGAAATCATTATAATGGCTCTTGAAAATAAATATATATACTAGGAATTTTACTTGTTGGTACTATTTTCTGTTTCAAAAGAAAATAACTAGCGCAAAAACTAAAAAACGTTAATTTCTGCGATGGGTTATTCTCTTTTGGAACAGAGTACATATTTGTATGGCAGTGTCTAGTGTCTATGCTGTCTAGTGTCTACTGTACATATTATTTAACGTACAAAATATTTTATTCCTTTTTAGGAATCCTTATCAGGTGCTTTTTTTTAACAAATAAGGCACAGCAACTAAGTCCATCTTAACATTAGTTGTCTTAGTGACTGCATCACATCAGGATTACAATATATTGATTTCCCTACACAATCCTGGAAAGTTAAATGGTCGGTGTTTTGAGAAAGTATTTATAATTAACAACACTAAGATAATACCCAATCTTAGGATTTTATATTTTATGGGAGTATATTATATAAGAAATATATTATAGGTGCCTCTTTTTTTATCACTATCAAATTCAATAAATGAATGTACAATAATTTTGTTAATATTAGAAATAAGTTTAAATATATAAACATAAAACCTAAAACAGTATAGGTCCAATAAAGACTGATACAAATATAGAAAACATATTTTAATTTTATATTTTCACGATGACATCATATTTTACAATTTCTTTTAAAATGATTTTATATAAAAAGTGAACATGCGGGTATTTAATTTGAAAGTATTAGTTTATATGTATATTTATAATATATGTGAGTTTATAACTGCAGAAAGAGCCATGACATCATTATTCTATTTTTTAATTTAAGTGACTTGGTAACTGGCGATTATACCTGCTAAAAATTGATGAATAAAAAACATCATGTATAGTTATTTGATACCATTTTCTTACTATATAATAATATAAATTATAAGAGGTCATTTTAACAGGGTTTTCTGCAAAAAGGTAGACATAATGTAGTCCTTTACTTAGTTTTTTGTATTTAAAAAAAAGTGACTTGTCTCTTGTCTGCAGTTAACAATTCATATAAATATACTATTATATGTATATAATAGTTTTTATTAATATGTGAATTTATTTTTCGTAAAACAAATTTAATGATATTTCTAGATGTCATTTCGTCGTGTTTTCTGAAGCATCATGCGTTTGTCGAATGATTTTTTTATCTGTAAAAATTACAAATTATAAATGTACATATTATTAGGGTACTGCGAGAAGTGTATTCCTCAAACAATTCATTTACTTCTTTGTTCATGAAACAGTATAGTATTGACACCATAAAACCTTGAAACGAGTGAAGTATATGAGCTGAATACGACCAGAATGCAAATAGCTCAGGACTTCTCGAATGCGGTTCCGGTATAACTACCAATATGAAATTGGTAATGCCCAACAACGGCACGAGGGCCACAGCTGCTTTTGACACTATTCTAAAACAATAATAACAAGTTATAGATAAAAATAATAGTAGTATAACTTTTAACTATTAGACCTAAGTCTAGCCGAATTAAAAAAATTAATTTTTCCTCCTTAAAAATATGGTGACTTTTTAATTAACAGAAATATGAGTATTTCTGTTTGGAGTTGTGACACAAGGAAAAAAATTAAAATATTAAATTTTAAAAATGAGATGGATTGAGTTTTTTTTAATATTGTAAGAGACCCTAAAATTAAAAAAAAATTATTTATTAAAAAAAAAATTCCAAAATGTGGAGATAATGACAGTTCAGTACTTCGAGAGATACCTATATCTTTAATTTATATTTTTTAAAGATAATCTATCGGTGCAGTGCTTTTTTGGTGTCAAAATAAAGGTTTTTTTGCGAGTTTATACTGTACTCGGTGTCTTACTACGTACAGAATCGCATAGAAGCGTTTAACAGTTACTTAGTCTCTTTTAGAGTCAGTGACTGTTTTGACCACGCTTTCCATGTTCTTCTTGAACTTAGGTCGGTCTTCAGTTTACCTTATTATTTCCAGCTCGGTTGACGGTGTCATTTTCGATTTGACTTTGATTAGCAATTCTCTCAGCACCACCATGAGTATGATAAAGTTTACCTGTGAATCGCAATAGCGGTTAATTGGCCATCGCCGCCGAAAAAGAGTTTATTGAATACGTGACTTACCACTAGGATCACTATCCGAGGCCCTTCGAGTATCCAAAAAACCGGCAACAGGTTATAACCCCACCAGCAAACGCTCGAAGACTTGTCGTAGTAGATCAACGTTACCAGGAACCACACTAAAGTTACCAGAGCGGGCACGCCCCAACCGTACAAATACATACGGGTATTGATAGAGTTAATCCTAAGTACTCTGGATTTAATGATCCTATACAAATACACTCCTTCGTTGTACATCCACATGAAACTGGCGGTTTTCGACCATTCGAGAATGACCTGTGCGCCTTCGCACACTATAGGCTGATGAAGAAAAAAAAAATAAAGTTTTAATATGAGCAATTTGATTTTACTTTATACGACCGCACCGTGTATATGATACCCAGAACCCAATTTTCTTCAACATTCACCACGTGAGGCTCGTTGTTACAGTCCACGTAACAGGTTATATTTTTTCTATCTCTTTTCATTTTGAACCAGTCCAGCTTATCTACATTTAATATGAGCTTGATAAGCATTTGTAACGACAATGCCACGAATAAATTCATGTGTATCTTGAATCTTTGTTCTAGGAGACCTCTGAATTCAAACAGAAAAGACGACGAAAATTAATATTAGTCAAAAATGTCCAGCACGTAGTTTTCTATACTAAAATTTTAATAAATAAATAAGACGTTCTATATTAATAATACGAAGCTAACAAAACGAAATGTATATTTTTTTTAGTTCTTTAATCATAGGCGTAAATACGGGGAGCTAGGGTGGGCTTAGCCCCCCCTCCCAAAAAATTAGGTTATGCATACAATTTTGAAATACAAAAAATATATTTACTTATATATATATTTTAAAAAAATTTCCAGCCACCCCAAATCAAAAATTTAAATTGCGCCTATGTCTTTAATATTTCCAATTGATAGTTTTGGTCGTTATTTTGTTTTCGTCAAATATCATTAGAGTCAAAAGTCAAAATCTTAAGTATATATTTTTTCTCCTTCGTCTCATCATTTACAAATCGATCAAATTCGTTCTCTCTATAAATAGAGATTTATAGAGAGAGCGGATTTGATTCAACACAATTTTTTGGCCACTCAACACATCCAAAAGTCTACTCCTTCATCACATCTACTCACTTATTCCTAGGTCTACTTCTAAATCCTTCTATCCTTCTACCATCTATTATATTGATGTATATTATTAGTACATATTTTTATAATTTTTTTTTCTTAAATGTATTACTATATATTATATATTATTGGTGGTATTTTATAAAACTGGCATAATTAGTAATTCGATATTTGATTAGTTAAATCCCATAACTGGTCATTTGTCAATTAGTTTGTCTCTAGGTTGGAGAGCTTCAAATTCATCTATCATTAGTGAGCGTTAGCAATGGTCGTACAAAACCAATTATTATGTAATGTTTTATTTTACTGGTATCTCAATAATGATATTAGCGAGCAAAATAGACTGATCTTTCAAAATACAATTTCTATGTGCCGTAGTCATAGACTGAGTTTTATAAAATGTTTTAACCTTAAATTTAAAATGTTTACTATTCTTCATAGTTTGGTCAAAAATTAAATATCCAAGTAGAGTATAGTAAATTATAAAAAAAAATTATAAAAATCCGTTTGCTCTACCAGGCGTCATCTATTACCCAATGTAATTGCATTTACCACTAAAATCATTCAAACTACATATTTTATACGTTAAAAATTATAACTTAAAGGTAACATTAATTAACGTAAACTGCCGCAGCCGTTCTTGTGGTGTCTGGGATTTCTTCCATTCTAATTTTCTTATTAATCACTGTTCTCATAGCTATATTTTATCAGCTAGGCCATATCAACATCCTCATTAGTCATCACTATAACTAGGCGATTTCCCCTTATTTTTAACGGGTTTTCGTGCCAGCTTTGATGGAATTTTGGTAGCAAAATCATTTTAAAAGCGGTTATTACTCACTTGTGTCTAATGAATATGAACAGCGACACGACTAGAGACACTATGGAAACGATGCATCCGACAATTTCGATGATTCCGGTGTTTGTGGCTATGTTAATTTTCCTCTGTATAGTGTTTAAAATATATCAGAAAAACGATTATAGTTTATTTTTGGACATTTATAACTGACCGGACTACCTTAGTATCTTCGTAGGAACCGAGTTTATGGAGCATTTCAGCAAGTTCCGGTGTATAACAACTACTGTAATCGGTCGATCCAAACAAATTGGTGAAGTTTTCCCAAATGCCGTCTTTAGTGCAATATTTGTAGGCATTCTCTGCAAAAACAATTATAATAATATATTAGCTAATCATATTTAATTGCATGTAGTAACATTTTAATTTGAAATCCAATTAAGAATACATTTTTAATTATAATTTGTGTTCTTTATTACTATTTAATTTAACACAAACCGTAATACTTTAAACAACTTTTTCATATATAGGTATGCGATTTACTTTTCAGTTCCCGATGGTATCAAGTTAACTACATTGCGGCCTACGGTTTTAATTCAATTATCATATTCTAAAATCTTCATCATTTATTATTATAATCGAATGGCGGTCGTGTGTGAATTAAATTATCGTTGTATTATTATAGATTAACTACACTCTACATTCTAGTTAATCAATGGTTCTATATACAATAGGTCGTTTAGTAAAGCTGTTAAAGACATTGTTTTAAATAATTTAATTTAAATTAAACTATTTTACTGGGACGTTTAAATTTTAAAACTATCTCCATAAATTAATACGAAACTCGGCTAATAATTTGAGTAATATTGACCGTCTTCCCCGTTATAAAAATGATCGTTGATGGAACCTTTCGACATAAATTTATATACTCCAGAATGTAATTATTTATTAATAACGATTAAGAATGATATTATGCAAATGCAAACATACGATCAAGCGCAGGTATATGTTTTAATTACCATTATGATATTACAGTGCTGGAAAACAGTGTCTGAGACCCGAGTAAATACATTAGGCCAAATTTTTTTTATGGCATAACACATTTTAAAGTAATATAATTAGGTACTATAGTACAGCTTAATAAATATTCCTTCAAATGGGACATCCAGTATTATAATGCACACTTTTTAGTAAAAAAAAAATTGTTTTATAACTTAAATTCTGTCTGTACGTTTAAAACATTCTGTATTTACTCATTATGTCAAAGCCTTGTTCTTTTGGACACGGTACAGATACATTTGTGTCAGCTTTTGCCACGGGCCAGCATATTTTTTCATCGTAAAACCAATTACAGTATTTTTCTGCGAACAAAAAAATGTGTATTAATGTTGACATAAACAACCACTTTTAAATATTTCAACATGTTAACTGTAGTGTACTTGCATTAATTTAAATTTCATAAATTAATTAATTAAAACTTAGTTATTTTTTAAATTTTAACAAAACTGGGAATTAATTGATAAAAAAAATGTATTTAAATCAATTTCGATTCAGTGTCATCATGTTATAAAAAATTATCAAAATTAATTATCTTATCTTTCAATAGTTAAACATTAATTACAATCAGTGTTGATTAAATCTTCTATTTAAATAATTTAGACAAAATCATATTGAATAACTTCTTGTTCGTAAATTTGTCGAAAAATAAAACTCAAATTTTGTCACAAGTAATTCAACTATTAACGAAAGTGTGAAATCATAAATTACCTAATATTCGTTGCAATAATTAATATAATTATTATTAAAATAAAAATAATGTAAAATAGTTGATTAAATCGTTATTATTTAGGTTATCAAAATCACTTTTGCCGTCTGCATTGGCAGTCTAATTTTAAAAATACATTGATATTAAATAATAATTTTTTGCTTAAAATTATTATTATACGTCTTCAGCATTGTTCGTGTGGAGTAGACGTATTATGTGGTTTAGATTCGGTATTTTCATTCTTGCTAAACATTTATAAGAATAGTAATTCTGGATTCACGTTTCCTACAATATTTCTATAGTAACAATCGACCCATTGAAGCTGCTCTTTTTTCATCTGAATTATCTGAACCATGAAAAATACCGTGAACTCATTTCGAAGAACGTATTCTCAAAACGATGTCAGTACTGAATACTACAACGTATGTTATTGTGTATTACCTATATTGAACTTAAATTGTACTTTTTTTTATTTTGTCTCTATACATAAAATATGAAGCAAGTATAACTATGCAATCTAATTGTGGATTTTAATACTAATTATAACGTTTTATACAGCCAAACTACCTAGTTGAATTAATTACATATATTTTAATGTGGCTTTAATTATAACAAAGAGTAAAAAACAATTATAATATATTTCTTGAACTTTATCTATTTTTTAAAGTTCGATTTTTTTATATGAATATTTTTTGTATAAAAAATAGATAAATTAACAGTTAATATTGGAATAGAATAATGATAACCAACACTTATATTATAACAATGCTGTTCTGTCGAGACAATATGTAAGTGAACGAAGTATTTGAAAGTACTTGTTTTGCTCTACTGTTCTTTTAATAAATTTGGACTTTTTACAAATTTGAAAATTGGTAAGAATATAAATTATTATTCATAATTTGATTATTTCTGCATTGACAAAATATTGTTTGATATATTTCTGTGTAGATAAGGCGAGTGTAAAGTATCATTTTAAATCTAAAAAAAAAAACAATTATAATTAATAATTTTGTTTAACGTGAAAATTAATATAGCACAGTATAAATCATGCTCAGTATATAAATCAAGAGAGATAATGAACTAAGCATGCGAAGGAAATTATTGGTTTGAATGTGATTAAATCACAGCTCCGACGCGAATTTCAGAATAATTTAAGTATTGTGAATTAGCTGTCCATTGAAAAGGGTCTCGCACCTTGAAGTTCTACCAAAGCGGCTTCCTTTTTAAAAGATTTTTTTTTAAATAACTTATAAACCTCTGTTTAACTAATTTAACCTAACCGCCTCTATGTAACAATATAATTGGATAGTATAATAAAAAGCTAACACAAAAATATAATATTTAAGATAGTATTATACTATATAAGAATATCTTACCGCTGGAAGTAATTAAATGATAAGGCGATGTAGAGCTGCATGGTGATATTGTGTCAGTTTTCATAATACTCTGACAGAATGTAAAAATTTAATAAAACCTGCGGACAAAATAATTAAGTTATTATTTGTTTATTTTAATTTAATAACCACAGTATATAGAAGTATAATTATCATAGGCCGAACTACGGGGTGTGCCTTGGCACACCCTAATATAAAACAAAATGCTAAATAATATAAATATTTGATTATTAGTCCTGAACCCCAGATTTTAAATTACTGTAATTAAAATTGTTGTAAATAATATCATTTTTAAGGGCCCTGTGGTTGGGTGACCGATTACAAAAACAAACCATGACTGTTTTAATAAATAAAAGTGTCATGTGTATAATATGAGCACCTACATAGGTATATAATTGTTTCTGTTCGTCAGCCGTTACCAAGCAGCGGGCAGAAAGATAAATGTTTCCTGAGAAAATTATTGTTATGACGTGGTCACCAAATGGGGTCTTTTTTAATTTTTTTATTAATACATTTCGAGTGTTTTTGCAAACGGTTTTCAATAACCGGTCACCCATGTATATATGTGTTTAGCTATGTATATAATATATATATAAATATATAATATTAAAGCTTTTGTGTTTTCCAAAAATACAGCGTTTATTGACGGATTGTTTTGGTTAAACGGAATGTAGGTATAATATAACAAGTTGAAAATAATCCCCACCGACTGGTTATTGAAGCGCAGCTCTTTTAAAAGCCTTAATTTTTACATCGACTTTCATAGAGTATAATCAGAACTAATTGACAGCCGACAAGTAATACATTTAAGTTATACCATAAAGCAATTTTGTAGAGTATGGAATAGGGTAGATGTTTCAGTTTTACCACTGTGCCAATAGACAATAGTAGCTCTTTTAATTCGTTTTAACTGAAATTGTTTCAGAAAACGGGGTTAAAATATTAAATGGTATAAATTTTTATTCTTCAGATGAATGGTATTATGAAATATTACAAAATTGCATATGATGACACTTTATTCATCAGCTATTGCCTTTTTACAACCGTTTTAAAGCAAATATTATTCTTTTTCATTTTTTTTAAATAGGTACCTTATTTATATAGCATATTTTTAATAATATGTATTTATTTTAATTTTGTAGTTTTTTTTTAATTTTTGAATAAAGAAATAATGACAAATTTATATTTAAGTTTAGCAAAAATGCATAGTGTTTAACATTTGTTTATACAAAAAACTGACCACAAAAAAAGATCATAAATGAAATGACACACTCAAATGTAAAACTCTTGTTCCGCCTATGATAATAATTATATATTTTAGAACACAAAACTATAATTTAAACTTATAAACGTCGCGCGGTATAAAAATTTACCTCAGTCACATAATATAGTTTGTATGACTGACGTCTGAAGTTAACCTAAGACACACTTAATTTATGTGCTACTGGGAACCACGCGATCGACAGAACTTTAGCAAACACATTTTAACAAACAATTTAAAAAACGATAAATATGTACTATTATTCAGTTAACCCTCGATCAAGACTTTTTAATAACAATTTGATTATAATTTTATGATATTGCAAAATATAAAATAGTGGTATTATACTAAAATATATATATTTTTAAATATTATTAGACGGCGCTTTATATAGGCAATTTAACTATACGCTTGCATTCGGTCCAAATCAGATGTCGGTATTGTGTACCCATTTTATTATTCATAATTTGATTATTTCTGCATTGACAAAATATTGTTTGATATATTTCTGTGTAGATAAAGCGAGTGTAAAGTATCATTTTAAATAAAAAAAAAACAATTATAATTAATAATTTTGTTTAACGTGAAAATTAATATAGCACAGTATAAATCATGCTTAGTATATAAATCAAGAGAGATAATGAGCTAAGCAGGTGAAGGAAATTATTGGTTTGAATGTGATTAAATCACAGCTCCGACGCGAATTTCAGAATAACTAAAGTATTGTGAATTAGCTGTCCATTGAAAAGTGTCTCGCACCTTGAGATTCTACCAAAGCGGCTTCCTTTTTAAAAGATTTGTTTTTTAAATAACTTATAAACCTCTGTTTAACTAACTTAACCTAATCGCCTCTATGTAACTGTGCTGGCCGATTTGTTAAAGCAGTTTGCTACCGAGTAGTCACAATAAAAAATAGTTTAACACTGTAGTCATGTTTTGATAGATTCTATATTATAGTGTTTACTGTTCGTTTGTTTCTCAATATACTTATTTACAAGTATTTATAACCAATATTCCATTAAAATCTATGTTTTAGTAGTTATTAGAAATGTGTACAGTTTTTACTGAATTTCTAAAACAATTGCATGACACATGTTTAAATACTTGTTTGTATGTATTAGCTATATCAACTATTAAACGTAAATACATTTTTCTGGTCCTAAAATGGCTTAGGCCTTTGGAACATTATTAAACGAGGGAAAATGTAATAGTGAAGCAATAAAGTTTAAACGTAATATGTGTACCAAAAAAAGTACATACAACCTTATCGTATTAATTCGTTTGTTTATGACCGTTTGCACTAACAGCTATACTTAAAATAGGTATTTTAACTTTACTTAAATTATAAATTAAACTATTAAATATTAATGGCACATATGTTTTAACTATAGTTAGTGCAATTAATCATAAATCGATAATTAAAATTAGACAAGAGGTATTGTGAGTTGTGAATCAATTTATTTATTTATTTATAAAATTAAAACTTTATAAACATTTTCATAGAATTTTTATTCAATTTAAAATCCTTTAGTTATCAAATGGAACATACTTATTTAGGGAAATATTTTTTAAAAATAAGACTGAGACACTTTAATTATTATTTAAGTATTTATTATATTCTTTATTCATTGACCCATTAGCGCCTAGCGTATTTTTTCAAATTTTTAAGTACAAATTTTTTTTTTTTAATTCAAAAAGTAATAAGAAACAAGCACCCAAACACCAACACAATTATTTTTAAAAAATCCGGCGTTAATGGGTTAATTATTCATATATCTCATTTTTTCTAGAATGGACACTTTTTTTGCTTTTACATTATAATACTGTCATTTTAAAGCTCCATCATTGAGTATATATATATATATATATATATATATATATACATTATAGTATACCCAATGGTTGCCTTTAGCTGATTCAGCCTCATTATGGAAAACGAGCACTAGGACACTCGTTATTTTTTAGTGGTCGGGAAAGACAATTTTGTCGAACCCGGATTATGGTGTCTGATAAGAATTAATCTAGCGAATTCAGGACTTACCAAGAGAAAACTGTGTTTGTTTCTAAAAAGGCTTTTTATTTTATGATGACTCTATAATGTAGACTTGATAAAATACTACATTTATTATTTTAATACTTACACGACGCAAGACGTCGAATAGTTAATTAGAATTGTATACTAATAACTTTTTATGACGTTTCTTATTATAATATCTACTTATGTCAGCTGGATTTTCATGTTATTATTATTAAATGTGTTGGGTGGGTTAAAGGTTTTTTTTTTATAAATAATGACGATTTTTTCTCTCGTTTTAAGCTGGTTTAAGTTCTTACTACGTTATTATTCTTATTACTATTAGCTACGAACAATAAGGTTGGACAATGGACATTTATTTTAAAGATTAAGTAGTTTATTAAAATTACTCAGTTAAATGTAAAAAATAAACTTATACAACTATATACTCCTACATACAAGACTTACGGTATTTTAATATCTTACCTTATGTAATTGATGATGGAGAATGACGTTTTAGTTTGTTAATAAACCTGAAACATTTTAAATTATGTTATTTTTTTAGTATTTAAAACCTGGCCAGTTGGAAGTCGTATTTGCGCAATAAGTGTTACATACTATCGCAGAATTTTCATTTTATATATAAACAAAATTATTTAAGGTAATACAATTTTATTAATTTTCGTTCAATCTACACCTTAATACCTTGTGTTCATGATTTCTCTTCAGATATTTTGTGAGCGACACTTTCGAAAATAAGGTAGACAACAACAACTTTTAAGTGTTTTTGCGAAAATCTGTTAGAACAAAAAGTAACACATCATAACTTTTTTTAAATTATGCTTAAAGTGCTTGCATTTGACACTCCTAATAATTACTTCAAACAATTTTTTAAAAGTTTCCATTTATGTTATCTCCAAAGACAAAATTCAACATTTGAAGTTTACACATTCTATATTAGGCCCACTACTTATTCCAACTTTTCCTGTTACAACGAATATGACAAATAGACGGTCAGACACCGAAGTAATTCCATAAGTGTTCGTACGGAACATTAAAATCAATTCAGTATTTTTAGGCTCACTTTTACTGTTTGTTCGCTTTGTTTATTCAAAGATTATGAAAAATACTTCTACTTTGTAAAGAAAATATTTAACATAGAAATAGAGTTTATTATTTGTATTATTATTTTAGTGCTTTAAATTATGTTTAATATATATGTATTTGCTTAATAATATTATAGAAACGATCACCTATATATTTTTCCGAAAATAAAACAATATTATCTTAAATAAATATATATTAATAAAAGTAATATTGATGTTATTAAAAATGAACCATCATTTATGTCCAGATTGCAATTTTTTATAAACATAAAGATCAAAGCCAAAACAATAGTGTGACAATTTGTAGCTTATACATATGATATAATGCAATGATGTCTGTCAGACGAACAATACACACTTTCTCAATAGTTTTTTTCAATCGTAATAAAATACAAAAAATTATTTATAAAGAAAAAATGTAATATTCGACAAATATACATGTATATAGAATATACAAATATTCCTAGTAATGACCTAATTTTAATTTAATACAACTTTGTCGAAATCAAATTTCATGACACAGGCGAGCTTGAGGGTCAGATAAGGAGCACCCGACTTTCTTTTCTTCAATGGACTTCTGTTCGAGAGCCCTCGTAACAGATTTATGGCCTTGTTGATTTTATATAACATCTTCGTCTACTCGTCATATTTTTGTGCATAATGATGAGTTAGCGGTTCTTTGGCAACGAGTACTGCGCTTCGTATTTTGGCACGCCTTTTGTCCGAATTAAGTAGACGGTTATAAGATCAACTATTGGTTCTAATGATCAAACTTTGTAAGAAAAAAGAAAAAAGAAAGGAAACCCACTCGTGCAAAATGACGACCGAAACAAAAAATGTAAGCGACTACATTAATGTTGAATGCTTAAATCAAATGCCGAGCAGCTTAAATGTATAAATTGGGCGAGTACACGGATTTGAGGACCAAGCATTTCAATAATTTGTTTTTAAAAAGGTGTAAGAGTGATGTGTACCATTGTTTTGTTTTCTTTTCTTTTTAACTACGACAAGGCTGATTAAATAATAATAATTTAAAATAAGATATTCATTGCAAATTCAAATGAAGTAATAATACATTTATGTGTTTGTACTGATTGATGAAATTTGATATTGATCATAATGTCACAAAACACGTTAAAAGTATATTTTCGATAGGTTTATTACGACTTATGCGTGTATAACTAACCTAGATGTTATGATTTATATTATGTAATATAATAAGTTAAAATACGTATTGGAAGGCCAAAATATTTTTTTTCATTAATTAAAGCAATTATATCGAATCCATGAAGAATATAACCTAGGGTATAAAAAAAAATATATATATATATCATTATTAATTTTTATAATAATTTTGTATTTAATATAAATTTGTTCTTATATTTTATTTAATAAAGGCCAAACAAAAAAAAGTTTTCTTATGTTTTATTAAAATTATTTTTATTAATTAAAATTTTGAGTTACCCTTCGACTTTTAAACATTAAAACTAAAGCTCTATTTTAAGTTGAAAAATATGAAATTTTTTTGGTACTTTTAAAAATGTTGACGGGGAAGGAGTGAGCTTTTAAAATGTTTGGCCCAGTATCTAAACCTATCAAGTAAATTTTCTGGTTTATAGACTTGCCACATGGTTCAGTGATTAAAAAGATATCGTAGGTTCAAACGAAAAAATAAAATCACATCGTAAACAGAATACCTCCTCAGCTCTGCATCTAAGCTAAAATTAATTAAATAATTATTACACATAAATGAAAAAATAAGATATTAATCTTAAAATTTTTAACCAAATAATGAAAAATATTTTGCATAGTATTTAAATAACTTTGTTTTATAATTAATTAATTTGTAATTTCTTTTATTGTCCAAGTCGTATAAAGGAATTGCAATACTAATTTTAGATTTTTTTCATTTTACACTAAAATTATTACTATAGTGGCGAACCTTATGTTATAATTTTGGTTGTATGATTAATGGTCATACCATGACACCAGTTGTCTCAAAAGTTCAAATAAGGCGTGTATTAAATTGAAAGAAAAGTTTCGAAAATACTTTTAACAGATGAAAGGGTGGATGTTGCTGAATGCTCATGAGAAATAATTACATTAGATAGTAAGTTAGAGTCATTCGTTCACAATATATCTTAAGAATCCTACTAACTTTTGAAATTTTAAAGGTAAACAATTTTATTGATAATTTAAATGAGAATAATCTGCTGAACATTTGGAAAAAAACATTCAAAACATTTTATTTACAAAATGGTTTAAGGAAATTTCTCGAGGAATTACGACTCGATTAATTACACAACTTAAAAAATCGCACAGTTAAGACGGAGCATAGTGGGGAATTATTATATGAGATTGATGAGATACATATGAACTATAAATTGTTTTCAGACTTGTCTGTTCTGGTTTTGTCTGAGACTGATTTCCTTAAACGGACGTTACGTAAGACTTCAGTACTGTTTACAGTATAACATAATAATATATAAAATTATACAAATTGCTAAAAACTTTTATTTAAGTTGTTACTATTTGAAAAAAATAAAGTCGTAGTGCACTCTGTTATAGCTTTTAATGTAGAGCTCACATCCACAACAATTATACTTTAAGTATCCGGAAGATAAGATTAAGTTTGATGTCTGTACTTCGTTGCCGTTTTTACCAATAAGCAAGTCAACAACAATATAAAAATATTTTTCAGATACTTGTTGACTGTTTATTTATTAATACATTGCTATACTATAATAGAAATTCAGTACAGTTAAAGTTTGATTAAAATGTTTTTTTTCCTTAATAAAATTTGACTAGATATAAATTATTAAGATAATGATATACATTAGAGCCCTACTATAGATCTACCTACAGTCTAATTTTTAGACCTTAAGTCACAAAACTACATAAAAAAAAGTGAAATAAAGAAAAAGTTTCTAGAGAAAAAGGCTTGTCAACGAATAATGTTTATTAATAGTACAATCTCTAAAGAATATTCCATAAATATTTGGAACTAATTCGATTATTTTTAAAAAAACTTAACATGTGCCTAAAGGTGTAATATTAGGTTAAAAAAATATGAACACCACTGTAAAATCAATACCATATCGAAGCTAAAAGTGATTATTCGATGTTATTATTCTTCGCCTGTTAAAATTTAACCCATTTTGTTAAATAGTTTTTAAAAAATGGTATTATACAAATTTGTAATTCAATTTGTATAGTTGTTTAATGATGTTTACAGATTTATGTCATACAAATATTTATTACTCTCTGTATTACTCTCTAGAGTGTAGACATATTTTATAAAATGTTTCTTGCATTAGTAAAACGTATTACATTTTACTAGAATATAAAGAATTAAAAAGCTTTTTAAAACTATGAGAACGTTTTTGTACCGTTTGATGTCCTTATATATTCCTGTTTTCCCGTTAAATCTAGTTTTTGTAAAACGTTAAAAGTTTATTTTGAAATGGAAATAAATCTAGTTTATTTAAAATATCTCTCTACTGTAGGTTTATCCAATACACGCATTTTCTCTTTTTTTATCATGATACAACCAATGCCTATAGTAGATAGTACTTTACTTGGCAATGGTACAATTTCAATTTATTTGACATTAGATTAGAATGCGAGCTCTGATGACTAGAGAAAATTGGATAGTATTATTAGAAGTTACATTTAGATATCCCAAACGACAGGTATAAGTAAAGAAACGCAAATGGCAAATGGATACTCATACGTTATAAATGTTGTTGATATTGGTTCCGTTAAGCGAACAGAATCTGCTTGAAATCTAAAAAACGAATGTAATAAAAAAACAGATGTCAATCTAAAGTAGTTTTAGTGTGTTAAAAACTTTTGACACGTTTAATCGTATTAAAAAAGACACTTAAACGCCTTATCGTTAGCGTGGGCGTGGACCGTTCGTTTGAATACTATCGAGTTAAAAGCGTAATTTAGTAACAGTATAACATTGCATACATACAAAAAAAAAAACTATAGTCCATGTGTACTTTAACACTTACTACTGTTGCTTAAAAAACAGTCTAACGTGGATGTGCTAAATTAAAATAGCCTAAATAGTCTAAAACGCGTCTACGTAAACTGTTACCCGTCAAACACTGATGAATCATAATCCCATCAAGTTAGTTTAATGGGTTTCTCAATAAAAAAAAAAAAAACAATATTCTCACATATCGATAATAAAAATTTGTAATGTTAAATTTTCCCAAATGATTTAATTCACAGTTTTTTAATGGGATAGGTATGAAACCGTATACACTTTTACTTCAATAACAGACGTTACTATATTAATTATCATTTTATGTACTAAACAAATTAGCATGACCTTGTTTTTCAATCGGATCAAGAGGTCATCTTATATTATATATATATATATATGATAGTAAGAGCTTCCGACCGGAATGCCCTTACAAATTACATCTTATCCTTAATGCTCTAATTAATATACACGGCTACGTAATATTTACTCTACGCTCTCATTGTATGTACTAAGACTGCACTAACCATCAAACAATTAGTCATTATCTCATAGAAAATTGTAGGATATTGTATATAATTTACTATGAAGTAGCAACTATTGTCTCAAAATCTAAATATTCATTTGTTTGACAAATTGTAATAAATAACTTAAAGATCATTACAAGATCAGTTAAATTTCAGACGCTTCTAAGTAAAAAATATTAATTAAATTTTTTTTGTATTCAGATTTGTACAACATGCTAATTTACAACAATCTAATTTGATTACATTCAGAACAATATATTTTTCACATGATGTTTAAACGTCATATTTTATTTTTAAAATCGTTTAACATAATGGTACCTATACACATTCATATATTACTCTCAAAGTTTAACGAGTATAAAATTACATATTATGTATTGTTACAAATTCAAAATATATAGTATACATTTAAAAAAAATATAATTTGCAAGCTCTGAAAAAAATATGTCAAAAGGGTAAGTTAAATTAAATTTAAAAACTATATTTTTACTGTTCTAAAATATATGTGGTATAGGTGCCTAAGGGTTGAGTTACATACATAAAGTTTTTATCACTTTTAATGATATACCCAAAAAGCTATTGTTGAAGTTTTTAATTTAAAATCTGTGTTAAAAAAAACGTATGTGTTAATTGTTGTTTTTTTTAAATTATTTTAATTTCATTAAACTCATCGGACCTTTGGTAATCTTTACTTGGACAGATAAATTGTACATAATTTAGTCATTACAAAAAAATGATACCCACTTGACGAATGAGTTATACAAATACTCAAATAAAATTAACCCAACGACAAAATATGATATTTTAAATTTCAACTTGGTTTTCATGTTGATAAATAAACAGTTATGTCACGGTGTATTAATAAATTTAAGAAAATTGTTTTTTTAATAAAATGTCACCTTAATTATTTCGGTTCAAAATTCAAATCGCTTTATATCGCTTTATCAATCGATGTTTCTACATATTATATGAATAATAATAATAATATCTATAGCTTATAAGTAATTAAAAATAAAATACTAACGTGTAATTGCATTTGCATAAAGTTTCAGCGTAGAGTCACACAGATAACGGCCTGGACAATATTCGAAAGTCGACGGTCGAATTAAAGCTTACCCAAGCGCAACACGTTTTGTAAATTGAAAAAGTTATAATTAAAAAAAAAAAATAAACACCGCGTTTACTGTTAACATTAACTCAATGCCGGACCATAAATTCTGTGCACGAGAGCCGAGGAAAAAAAGAAGATAAATCAAATATGTAAAAACCTAATAACGAAATGTGTTTACCTGGGAACACGGAGTTCTCGAATGAGTAGTTCGAACAGTTGAATGTCCCGCGTGATTGCGAGGAAAATGCGCATATCCATTTTCCGGTTGGTTCATTGGTTGGTGAACCTTTTTCACGTAATAATAGTACACATGCAAACTAAGTCAAACCCCTTTGTTTTACCTTTACACACACACCCACAAAGATCGACGATAATAACAATTTTTTGTTCCTACGTTTTCTATAATTAATAATAGTATATTATTATTTTTTTTTTTTTATAAAAATAAAAACCATTTTTAACATTGAGACAAAAACAATTGTTTAGTACAAATTAAAAATTACAGCTATAATATATATATATATATATATATTACGTATATAGATAATATTTTTTACATTAATACAATATTTCGACGATTATAAATTTATAATATTTATTTAGATTTGTGAATATGTTTTATACTTGAATTCAGCCTATGATATTATTAAGGTTACAACTAGTAATTGTTATATACAAATAATGCTTTACATAATTACTCAAAAGAAATATAAATGTAACTCGAGTAGTCTGTTTAAATAGAAAAATACTTGCTAAATATTACTCACCCGAGACAAAAACTTATTATTCATGGCATAAATAATAATATTGTACTCACATAATTTATATTAGTAACCATCTTATCCTCAGCTCTCTTCCTGCAAAATACTTATAAAATAATGATAATTTAGAAAAACGTATGTGATATGTAGGTATTTCTTACTTAACGACTTGTAGTTACAATATTTTTTTTTTTTAATCACATGATAGTGCCGTGATGATAAATGTTAGAACGTTCCAAGCGTGAAGAAAAACTTTACTTCTTAAATTGTTAATATATTTTGCGTTTAACTTTATCGAAACATATACTTATGTTTAGCTATCTAAATATTAAAAATATTTTTTAAGCTATTACGTAAAAACTTTTAAAAACTTTTTATGTATACAAATATAAAGTTTATGAAAAAATTAAGACCACTGTGTAATGTACTTAGGTATTAGGCTATGGTCTAAATTTATGGATTGTCGCCTACCAACATTTATTTTTATTTTGGAGATACTTGTTTAATAGTGCTTATACTTATAAAATAAAATACAGAGTTCAAAAAATGAACGTTTTATAAAAAATATTATTTTAAATGACATCATTATTCATAATTAAAACTTTCTTATGTAATTTTTGTGAGCGCAGCGGTAAGATTATATAATATCTTATACCGGGAAAAATAATAAAACCTGGCTATATTTTACTTTGGAAAGTCGCGACTAACAAGGAAATCAAAAAAATGTTTAATAATATGCGATAACGTCGTAAAAAAGGTAGCAACTCAGCTTTGGAGAGGCGGTCACTGGTTTGAAGGTGATAATCAATAGTTAAAAGTAATAAATCACATTCATTAAAAATGTTGCGACGAAACGATGCGGACTTCCCAAAAAATAATAAAAAGGATGTTGTTGAAAAGGTGTACCTTGGCGACTTTGCCAATCCATCACACGTTATGAAGGAGTTTTTTTCCCAAATTAAAAGAAAAGTATGCGTTAAAAATTCTCTCTATGAAAATAATGTTTTTTAAGTTTTTTCTTTGTAGTGGGCTTACCTAATCCAATATTTCAATATTTATGGATTGATTGAGTGATATGTAATTATTTTTTGACATCGACACATGCAATATCATTCAATTCAATTTTAAAGCATGCCCATTTTTTCTGCCGAGTACTAGATACTTTTTATTCATATTTATTTTTATGGACAATACTATTTTCCCATGTAATATAATGCAAATTAACGTTATTTCTTAAAAAACGTAAAAAATGTCATAGGTAATGTAATACATTTTTTGATAAACTGAATTTTATTGTTAAGAACGAGAGCATTTGTTTTAAAATCAAAATGTGTTAAACGGTTCACTCGCTAACATTATTTTACATTTTTCAGAATATATTTATATGTTGCTTATTTTGCTATCATAAAACAACAAAAGTTGAAAAATAACTATTTAAATTTTGAAAATGTATGGTTTTTATGTAGTGCAGAGACAATTATCCTTAAGTAAATTTCCCGACCCTAAAATCATTGATTTCGAAAAGTGCCGGCTAACCTGCGTATTATGATTATAGTTTGACCAGGCCATCTATTGATTAAAATTAAGTTTATAAAGAATACAAACAGACAATACAGCTTGTTTCCTATCAAGTAATCATTTGCCAAAATAATTAATAAACTTTATTATAAAAAAAGGCTAACCTTCTACCCCGACAACTAATATTACATAATTAAGTATGTGTATATAAAATACAATTGACTATTACGTAACGACGCTATTGATTTGTTTAAACATTTTGTATTATGTATATTATATTGTGTTTAATTTTGTACACACACACGTTTATTAAATATAGCGTATGGGTTCATTATTAAAATGTTACATTGTGTTTTCCATACATAATTATTATATAATGATTCCTTTTGTGCCGAAGGAAATTGCTAATAGATTTGTTTCCTTCAGACATCAATTCAAATTAAACAGGGTGCAGAACAACGAGATGGTGAATATTGTAAACCATGTTATGTAACTTGCTTGTAGCGTGTTGCTTATTGTTTGAACAAAGCTGGAATAGGTTAATTATAAATATCGTTAACTCATTTAAATATATAGCATTTATATGTGAATGTTACATTTATTATTTTCTTGCAAATTATAAACAAATATATTTTACTGGAGGTAAATTATTAATAACTAAATCTACTTTTTTAAGAAAAATCTATTTATGTATGATGTATAAATATTTGTTTTAAATCTAAGAATTAAAAACTAACTTTCCATGGTTTTTTATTTAATGTATTTTAACAGCAGATATGATCGAAAAAAATTAAGGTAGGTAATAGTTACAAAAATACTATAATGAACCACTCAGAGATACTAAGAAAGGTTTATGCACTTTTGATTTAAAAAATTCAAACTATTTTATTATTATTGTTTTTAAAGACTGTTGTGAGGTTAGGAATAAATAAATACCATTTTAATAAAAATCATGTCATAATTATTTGAATAAGTCGTCATAAGTTTTAGGTGAGTTTTGATATTAATTAAATAGTTACAACTAAATGTAATTAAATACATAAGCATTAAATCAATAGCTGAGATGAACAAGTTTTTCAATTAAACGATTTTAAAGAAATTAAAGAGCTTAAGTAGCCGAATTTTTTTCTAAATGTGTGCTCTGAATTTAAGATGGCATGAAAGTATTTTTTACCAGTGATTATTTATAGCTGCCTTTTTAAGAGAATTTAACTGGCCCTACTGTAATAACAGATAATAGGTTATGGCATCGGGCACATGTCATGGACAGCCATTTTTCTTTTAAGACAAAGGCAGATGGGTCCGGCTAAGCTTGTATTTTATTAAACTTTACATACCCTTTTTATATTTTTTGTACATTATAGAGAAATGTCTAGTTTTAAAAGTTAAATTTAAACTTGACAACTAATAACTGTTCGTTGCGTAACAAATTTGTCATTTTACAACACTAAATTTGTATTAGATAAACGGGAGTACCGCGTTAACATCATTATAATAAATATTGTTTATTTATAATTATACTGTAGTTTGGAAGTCTAAAAAATATTTTTTTAATAATTAAAATATAAATCATATTTTTAAAAGTTAAACTGTATAAATGCACATCACAATTATCGATCACATAGAAGAGTTAAACTACCTGGTTACAAAGCTCTAAGTGCGTATTGAGGCGAATGCGACAACTAGATGGCGCGAGCTAGAGCATGCAGCAATGTATCCACAGAAGTATCTGGAGTCCTAATGTTAATTCTTGCTTGTAACTGAGTATATATTTTTAATGCAACCAATTTGATAAAAAAATATATGTACACAGGTTAAATGGTAGTGCTTTGCTCGTGTAAATTATACAAACATTTGTATTATTATTATTATTTGATTTAGTAGATATTATTACTACAAGCAAATAAAAATAACTAGTATAAATATAAAAAAGTATAAATTATAATTTATTAAATAACTAAATAAATAATTGAAGTAATACACACGTAGTGACGGGGAGCTAAATAAAAAAAGCGTATCGCTCACGATGGAGTAAGCTAGGAAATACTATTATATTTATCATTTTTTATGCATTGTAAATTATTTGTATTCACATGTAGAAATAACTACAAAATCAAATAATAATAATTCAATTGATTTATTAATTTTCGTAAAAAATTATATATATATTATTATACAATTATACAAATTAGTATTATTATACAATGCATTTTACTAATATCTTATTTTTCAGTCCATATTATTATTTTATTTTATATTTTAATAAATTGATTGTTTCTTTGAAATGTATTTTATAAGTATCTACTAATTTAAATATTAACACCTATGTCTAAACAATTATATTGATTATACAAACCATAATAAAACATTTAGAAAATATTATATATATATATATATATATATATATATAGTTTGTTTTGTAGGCAAGTTGTTAGAAATATATATTATATTGAATTATGAATTTACCATGCAACATAAATTAAAAATAGTATTGTATAACTTATAAGTACTGATTTATGGTAAAATAGCTTACTTGATTTAATATTTGGTAATAATTATTTACGTTTAAATTTGCTTAATGTCTTATAGATAAATTAAATTATAGACTTGTACAAATTGTATATTTATTATGTAAATAATATATTACATAATAAATGCCAATAAAGTCAACACAAATCGTGTCGGATTTTGACGTTATTCGTTTAATGCGTCCCCAACAGATAACGCTCGTTTTACAATTTTCGTTATACTTTTGGAAAAACGACGAATTTTGTTTCCGCTGGGTTTGCATAATTCGAGGGGATAATATATTGAATATATATTGTACCAGTCGTATATTTTATGCAAATTTGTTTTTATTTACCTAACGGGTATAAACGATTTTCTATGTCATT